GGGAGATATCAAATAACATTTTGAGTTGAAACTTCATAAATTCTTCAATCCTAAAATTGTTGTGGAAATATATGTGTTTGTTTACATATTTGTTTGTTCATATATGTGTTTAGGTGCATATTTGTTTGTTTACATATTTGTTTGTTTGCATACGTGTTTGTTTACATATTTGGTGTGTTTACATTTTTCTTTGTTTACATGTGTTCGTTTGCATATTTGTTTGTATATATAAGTGTTTGTTTCCATATTTGTTTGTTTACATATTTGTTTGTTTACATATTTGTTTGTATACATACGTGTTTGTTTACATATTTGTTTGTTCACATATTTGTTTGTTTACATTCATGATTTGATTTGATTTGATTTACAGATTTGTTTTTTACATATGTGTTTGTTTACATATTTGTTTGTTTACATATTTGTTTGTTTATATATTTGTTTGTATACATAAGTGTTTGTTTACATCTGTGTTTGTTTACATATTTGTTTGTTCACATATGTGTTTGTTTACATATTTATTTGTTTACATATTTGTTTGTTTACATATTTGTTTGTTTACATACTTGTTTGTTTACATATTTGTTTGTTCACATATTTGTTGGTTTACATATTTGCTGTCTTTACCTATTTGTTTGTTTACATATGTGAATGTTTACATATTTGTTTGTTTATATATTTGTTTGTTTACATATTTGTTAGTTTGCATATTAGTTTTTTTTACATATTTGTTTGTTTACATATTTGTTGTGCACATATTTGTTGGTTTACATATTTATTTGTTTACATATTTGTTTGTTTACGTATTTGTTGTTCACATATTTGTTTGTTTACATATTTGCTGACTTTACATATTTGTTTGTTTACATATTTGTTGTGCACATATTTGTTGGTTTACATATTTATTTGTTTACATATTTGTTTGTTTACATATTTGTTGTTCACATATTTGTTTGTTTACATATGTGAATGTCTACATATTTGTTTGTTAAGACTTTTGTTGTTTACATATTTGTTAGTTTGCATATTTGTTTGTTCACATATTTGTTTGTTTACATATTTGTTTGTTTACAAATTTGTTGTTTACATATTTGTTTGTCTAGATATTCGCCCTGCGTTTAATCTCCTGGTTGGATGAAGTGCTGCAGTACAGTGAGGGATTTCGTGCTCTTTTCTCAAAAATTTTAGGAAAATCATTTTTTCTTATTATCATCACTAATATATATATCTTGATGGATAAACCTGATAAAAAAAAGACTATATAAGTAAATTATGACGTCATAGCGACGAAAAAGGTTTAAGTTTAATAAGGGCAAAAAAACCTTTTATTTTTCTACTACTGTCTGTTGTAAACAAGATATGGTGGTTCCTGGTGTACAATCATGCCTTGGTATTTTGACTTTTATTCCCTGCAGTTGCAGTACACTTACAAAAGTACTTGTTTTTAAACAAAGATAAATAAATATGTAAAAAAAATGAATGCTGTTAAGTTGAACAAGAAGTTGGATTAAATAACAGAAAACAACCTTCTCTGCTTGAAGGTAAAAAACATTTTAGTTTTTTATTATTGTTTAGAAACTATCACATTTTTCTAGTTTCTGTTAGATTGAATACAAACTTATTATTCAAGGTCTACTCAAAGAAGTGAATAGTTGTTTCGATTTATGTTTTTTTCAAGAATAAGGATTTATTGTTGTGAAAGAATATTTTTTGTTTGATAATATTTGTTAAAGAATATTTGTTGTCAGAAAATATTTGTTTTTAAAGAATATTTGTTTTAAAAGAATATTTGTTTGAAAAGAATGTTAAAAATATTTTTTGTTAAAGAATATTTGTTTTGTTGTTAAAGAATATTTGTTGTCACCTCCCCCCTTCCCCTGTATACGCCTCTGAATTCTTGCCAGATTTTTGTTGCCGGGTTTGATTCTGATTTCTAGTTTTTAGGACGACTTAACAGCGACTAGTTTATCAGTTATTTTCTGAAATAATTTATCAATTATATTTTGTCGCGTTTATACTACTGGACTTATAGGGTGCTTCGCGTCCATTTCAGTTTTTGTACATTTTTTATTAAAAATTAGACTTCGTAAGAAATACCTCGATTTCTGCAAGTTTGCGGTTCAAAATGTTAAATATTTGGGTAAAAATTATAAAATAGAGGGTAAACCAGACGTCAGTCGGAGTAGGGTTAAGATATTACTTTTTATACTTTATTTAATACAGGAATGCTGCTGGAACACGTGAGCAAAAAGGAGTTTTCTGTTGTATTTACAAACAATTACGGAGCTATTTTCAAAGATTTTATTCTGGTTAGTGTCTTTTACGTGTTATTAATTCCATATTTTAATTCTTGATGGAGTCTATTACATACTGATAATTCTTGATGGAGTCTATTACATACTGATAATTCTTAATAGAGTCTATTACATACATATTGATAATTCTTGATGGAGTCTATTACATATTGATAATTCTTGATGGAGTCTATTACATATTGATAATTCTTGATGGAGTCTATTACATACTGATAATTCTTGATGGAGTCTTACATATTGATAATTCTTGATTGATTCTATTACATATTGTTAATTTTTGATAGAGTCAATTACATTTTGTAAATTTTCTTGATTGATTCTATTGCTATTTTTAATTCTTAATGGAGTCTATTATTTTAAATTTGTTCAATGTTCAGGACGATCATGAACACTCGTTCAGTGTGACGAGTTTATCTGTTCAGTTGTTCACAGTTCCTTCCCTAGCTCATTATCTTATATCTAGTCAGGTATTTTAAGGGGTATTTCCCCCTCCCAACCCCCTATCTTTGAAAAAAAAATTCCTGGAATGTTCATGCAAAGAGCAAAGTTCTGCCTATAAAAGTCTACCGACTTAACTTAAAATTTTATTTTAGACTAAGAATCCCGTAGATCTACTTAAAATTTGAGGCAAATTGATCCAGGGGTTTGTGCCTTATAATCGGACATCCAAACAAACAAACGAGACAGACAAACAAACAGACAGACAGACAAACAAGGTTGACTTCTTCTAGTCAAACTTAAATCTTTCAATTTAAAAGTAGTTTTTCAGTTCATTGGATGTGGCTAAGCGATATCCTGAACAAAGATTTTAAGATTTAAAGTATTTGCAAAAAATGAATATATTTTATATACAAAGTATTTGCAAAAAATGAATATATTTCATATACAAAGTATTTGCAAAAAATGAATGCGCTTGACGTATCATCAAAATTATTCGATTCAATATCTCTTAATAGATTAATTGTTTATGAATTTCTGGATGAAAGGATTGAATTATTGGTATATTGTATATATATATATAATTTATATCTGTATTCATATATTTAATTATAACTGATAAATGGATTTATGAATGAAATGATGATTTATGGATTGATTTATGATTTATGGATTGATTGGTTGATTTATGATAAATGTTGATTGAGTAATTTACTGACTGATTGATTAATATACTGATTACTGATTGATTAATTGATGGATCGTTTGATCAATTGACGGATTGATTAGTTGACGGATGGATCGAGTAATTGGCTGATTTATTAATCTGATTGATTTGTTAGTTGTCTGAATGATTGATTATTTTTATTGATTGATTGATTGATTGCCTAGATGTGAGGTACCTACTAAGTGTTCCCCCGGACAGGTTCGAAGACAACACTAGGCTAGGGTTCCTGCACGGGTACTCCATGCTCCTCGATATCCTCTCCTGGATGCACGGCATGGACGGGCATATCAGGTGGCAGATCCCCCTTTTTTCTTCGTCACAAATATTCGAAATTTTTTACATAGAAATATTCTAAATTTTTGATAAATAAGAAAAAGTGTGAATAATGAATTTTTGTACCTTAAAGAAGAGAGCATCATGAAGAAATTTGTTACATTTAGATAGGAACACGCTTGTTAGACCCTTCATGTAATAGTGCCATGGATTACTCAGAATTATACTGTTAATCTGGCGGCCTGGCGTTAAGTTGTTAAACAATTTACATATTATTTATCTTTCTTAGACAAAGTTTTAATTATTATCACTTAAAACTTAGAGAACATTAAGGTTCTAAAGGTGAAATTTCAAGTGACCCTCCATGCAACGATGGCAATACCCTATTCAGAACAGTACCCTTAAAAGCTTTGATGAGATATTAATCAGATGGGGCTTCTTTTACAGATCCAATCCTCTTATAATCCTCTCATAATCTTAATCCTGGGTTCTCTTAAAAGGAAATCAGACTCTTACAATCTCTTTAATAGTTTATTGTTTCAGACAAGTAAACCAGCATATTGAGTTTGAAGCAGACTGGGAGAATGGTTTTAATCTTCATATGAAGCTAGCTCCAGTTATCTCTCTAACTATAAGGTTTGTAAACAATGGCTTAGGAGCCATTCCATTTTGGTCTGGTGTTGCCCGTGGAACTTTAAAAACACTTATGTTTAGCCTATGTCATCCTCGGGGTACCCACGGGCTTTCTCAAAATATTTCAGCATTTTGTCCAGCCATTTGGACAGCTGCTAACAGACATGTATTCCATGGAAGTATGTTTATATTATACTAGCTAGAGTGCCCGGCGTTGCTAATGGAATTTAAATTTAGGGTTAATTTTAGGGTTCCCTAAAAAAAAATGTCAGCCAATTTGGTCCGCCCGTTTGGCCAGCTTTAGCTAATAAATATAATATAAATTGTAGATTGTAGATTATAGATTTTATGCTTATTGAAAAATTAAATACTTCTATTTTAGATGGTGTTCATTGGACCGAACTATATTTATCAAAGCGCTTAGGATGCTTTTAAAGCGGATTCAGGTTTGTACTTATGTACAGAATATAACTAGTTCATGTACAGAATAATACTGGTTTATGTACAAAATATATATAAGTGTGCAATGCTGTATGTAAATATACTAACACTCAAGTTTACACTATTGTACACTTTGTAGCTTATGCTAACATAGGCGGAGGTTGAGGTTGAGGGGATGGAGAGGATTGAGTGTATTGTGGACAAGAGGTTCAAGGCTGAGGTGATCAACTACTCAGTAGCCCAGCAGGAGGTCTCCATGCATATCCCACTTACAAGAATATTAGCAGGTACGGGCTAGCAGGGGTAAATATTAAATATTATCCTAAAATTCATTTGTTTCCTAGTTTATTTAATTGGAATATTTATTCAGAACGGTAATTTTTAAAATCGGTGATTTCCTAGAGAACGATTTGTTGACCCTTTGCCCCTCAGCCCCCCCCCCTTCCATCAAAAAATGAACTAGAAATTTTAGTTATTCAAGGGTGATTTGAAACCACTTTAAAGAACCTAACCTAACCATGAAGCAATACTAAATGAATATTAATTTTTGATAATTATTGGAATTTTGACATGTACAAAATTGATAGAAGGGGGGGGGGGTCCAGAACTCGTTCTCTCGGATTGACCCTTAAAATCAGTTACTTTTATTGTGTAAATGTGAAAATATGCCACAAAAATTTACAATTAACTGGTAAAACTGACGTTAAGGGTAACAAAAAAATAGAATTGATTTTTCACATCTTTTTGTTTAATGTATTGTTGGGGGTTTATTATTCAGCTTACTGTACACTACTGTAGGTCTGCTTGTGCATATGGAGAAGTTCGACCTCACCTGGGATAGTCTGGAGGTCAAGGACTGCGTTAGACCTCTACTAGAGCAGGTAAATTGAAGGTCAAGGACTATTTTCTATCTCTTTTATAGCAGGTTAAATGGAGTTCAAGGACTGTGTTCGACCTCTTAAAGAGCAGGTAATTCGGAGGTCAAGTACTGTGTTCAACGTCTAGCAGTTAATTTGGAGGTCAAGGACTGTGTTCGACCACTTTTAGAGTAAGTAATATAGAGCAAGTTCGACTTCTTTTAGAGCAGTTTATTTGGAGGTTAACGACTGTGTGAAACCTCTTTTAGAGCAAATAAATTGGAGGTCGCCTCTGATTTGAATTTTATTTAAATAGATCAGATGTAAATGTTTTCAAGAATTATAAAGCTTGTACGAAAGTTTCCAAACAATCTTTTTAAAAATTTAAACAACTTTCCATGAAAAATTAGAAGAATTTTTTTAACAATTGGCTGCTTCCTTTAAGTATTTTCCAAAATATCAGTATTCACAGTTTATGATAGGTTAGGCTAGTTTAAGAACCTTAACCTTGAGGGGACTGCGAAGGTAAAATGAAAGGGGATATAGGCTAAAGGAGGCTAGACATTTCAGGCTTTCACCTTATCAAGAATAGTTTTATTTGATGTCCCTGTCTCGAAAAATTAATTTAACACTATAGTTAAACGATAACTCATATATACAGACGGAGCCACGTGACCAGATACTGCACTGCCATTTTTGGAAATTCTGGTCACATGATACAGTCGAAACAAGATTAAATTCATTATATCTATTAAAAATGATTATCTGGTTATTTTTAGATTTGTGCCATATAAATCTTTACATGATACTATATCACATATACGAGTTTTTGTATATCTTGGACGCAGTTTTACATGAATTTCTCGAGACATGGACATCTGATAGAATTGATTAACTAGACTTGGTCATGATAAACTCCAAAAATTGTTAGGCTGTAGCCTATACCCCTTTTATTTTACCTGAACAGTCCCTTTAAAGGGACGAAACGTTTTATACAGTTTATACAGAAACTTTAAGCATTTAGGCATTTTTTTTATTGTGTTAAGATTCTTGAATATCCCCTGAGAACCAGTGTTCTGGAGTCTCAAGTATATGCTGGGATGTGGAGAAGGAATGGATATTCACTTCAGCATCAGATTTATTATTATCATAGTCCCAGGTTAGCCCCTCAATAACAATGTACGCAGGGGTTGTATTTCTCAAAAATGATTCCCTCCCGTCAAATTAGGTATGTTCCCGTATTTTCTGAGTTCATACAATATACACCCCTGAGCTAAGAAGTAATACAATGTGTCTCAAGTAAATGAGTTCCTTATAATAAAAAAATTGACAAATAATCTTTTATAAATATAATTATCCATTATATAGCGTGGCAAACATTCGTGAACCTAATCTAAAAGCATGTACTTGACAACCCCTAATTCTAAACATAGAACATCGTGTGCCTTTACAAGATTTAAAGACTATAGTTCTGAATTATGTTTATTGTTAATTGATTAAAACCGAATTGTCTGAATATCCAATATTTTTATGTTTGTTGTTAATAATAATAATACAATGAGACCAAAAAACTGTGGAATAGGAAGATGATTTTAAATCAACCTCATCTCATTTTGTCATTAAAGGGAGTGTTCGCGAAAAATGAAAATTAACAGAAGGATGAGGTATCACAGTCATATGTAATAAGAAGGCTTGAGTAGTTCTTTTCTTGTCATTGACATGCGGATTTTATCACATTTGGATTTATTCCTTCCCGAGGAAGATGATATTAGCTCTGCGGTGTTCCACGAAACATGAATGTAGCAAGACGTTTTGAAAGTCGTCTTTGATTTTTTGATTTATTTGTGATGTTCAGTTGTCAACCTACTTTCACATGTATGATTCTCTTGAAACAAAAACCACAATATTTTCCTAGTCCTGGCATTTCCAAAATGTGGTCTGCCTTTTTTTGTGCTGTAAATACAACCGGAGATATCAAGAATTTTGTTGATATTTCAATTCTATTAAAAAAAAATCCAAAATTGTCCAAATCTGAATGAAAATCTTCATATCTTGGGTAATATTGAAAGCACAAAGAAAGTCAAACCACATTTTGGAAATGCCAAGATAAGGGAGATTGATTTAGCTCTAGATATTTTTACTTTCAAAATTAGGTTTACGGCCAAGTGGCACAAATTATTTTGACAATGAAAGACGACCTTCAATATGTTTAGCTACTGTCATGTTTCGTGGGACACGCTGTATTTGATTATAGGTGTAGGGTTGAGATGTATGACCGTGATGTTGAACTGCTTCAGTTCTGTGCCGCTAATCTTGAACCTGAACAGTTTCTTGTTCATCTTCTCAACAAGTTTGGTTTGGTTACCTGGGCTTCACAGGTTAAATACACACTAAAGGGACTGTACACGGAAATTCAAAAGACTCTTTATTAAAATTGTTGCATGTTTGATTCACAATGGTACTCTTTAAACCTTTCTCGTAGAAAAAGTTATGAAGATATTCTTTGCGTTCATTCTGAATATTGATAACTTTTTGTTTCTCTTTAAATAAAACTAGCGGAATTATGGAGGACAAAGATTGAAATTAACAGAATTCAACACTTCAAGATGTAAAAACTAAGATATCTTTCTCATAGTTGCCCAGAATAATGTAGTTGTAAGTTTATCATTGTAAATGTTACGTGCAGCTCTAATATTGGCTGATTACTTTATTTTACGCTAATAGTCTATTTATAGTACTATACTAATTCATTTTTTAGTAAATCATATACTAATGTGCAAATATGCTTTTTTTTGGATCGGGATAAAAGTTTAATCTTGATAAGAGAATTCTCTTTTACGCAATTCAAAGATGATATTTTTTTTTTTCTGTCGTACAAATAACTGATTATTTTCATACACACGTATAAAAATTAATTAAGAATTCCTAAAAAATTTTCCTCCATTGCAATGGTGTATACTGTATACTACTACTGTCACACTGTGTCGTTAATGATTATTTTTTGTAGAAAAATATTACTTATATGTTTAGGGTTGCGAGATAGGGGAAGAGGAATCATTAAGACATTTAACACTTTTAGTTGATGAATTCTTTGCTCTTCTAATCACACTTTTAGGTCAGGTTTATAATTAATTGTTGCAGGAATGGGATTCTTTTCCATTTTTTTATTTATAGATTGCTTATTCAGACTAATTGACTAATTAATATATTGTGAATTTAACATTTGCTAGAATTTTTTTAGTTACTTACGTTTGTGACAAATGGTTTATTGACTAAATGGTTGATTGACTAAATGATTGATCGACCAAATGGTTGATTGACTAAATGTTTGATTAATTAAATGGTTGATTTAGTAAATGGTTGATTTAGTAAATGGTTGATTATTTCAGAATTGATTGACGAAATTGTTTGATTAAATTGTTTTTTAACTTTATAGTTAATTGACTAAATGATTGACTGACTAAATGATTGATTGACTAAATAGTTGATTGACCAAATGGTTGATTGGCTTAACGAATGACTGATTGATTGATTGATTGAATGACTGATTGATTAATTGATTGATTGTGTAGGAGAACGGTATATAGTGGGTGTAGGGGAGGTGACTAAAGAGGAGATAACAAGGAAGGATATTATTCAACTTCTCTGCGTCAAACCTATGTCTCACTCCGCATTAAACAACGTAAATATCCTTTGTATTATTTTTAGAATGGTACTCTAGGTACTCTAGGTACTCTAGGAACTCTAGGTACTCTAGGTACTCTAGGTACTCTAGGTACTCGAGGTACTCTAGGTACTCGAGGTACTCGAGGTACTCGAGGTACTCGAGGTACTGGAGGGTGTTGGTAAAAGTTTACATAAAATCATAGATTAAAAGAACACAGATAGAACACTAGATGTCGTCTTTTTAATATTTAGGGGTTTACAAAACCCTAAGGCAGAATCCAATAGGAGATACGAGCATGCTGCGTTGAATTAAAAGACAGAGAGAGCTTGCGCGTCACTACTTTGGGCCTCTACTTCAGGATTGTTGGAGGAATTAATAACCTATATTACCTAGAACCGAATTTAATAAATTTGAGCTAGTTTGCTGAACTACCTATTTATATTGTCAGGCCCTGCAAGAGGATGTGAACCATGAGACTGGTCTTGAGAAGGTGATTGATCAGGTCGCTACCTTCAAGAAGCCGGCCCAGGGGCTCGGTAAGGGAGTCTACGAGCTCAAGGAGGAGTTGTACTCCGAGTACGATGTGTTCTTCTTCCACTACACCAGGGAGGATCAGAGCAAATCCGAGGAGGTGCAGAGAGCCAGGCTCAAGGCAGCTAACAGCCCACAGGTATTATTCAAGGAACTGTACACGTAAATTCAACTGAACTTCCATTTAAAGAGTTACATGGTATCTTTTTTCATTTCTCTGAGCAAAATTAGTGAATTTATTCTTGCTTTTCTATCTGAAAATTTGACAATTTCTAAAACGAATTCTAATTCTAAAAAAAATGACTTGTTGATTTTGTTTGTGGTATTAGTGTTGAGTTGTCAAGTTCTAATGGGTTCTCAATAATCTGTGGAGTCTTAAAGAAGTTCTCCAGTTATTTTCTGATCATGTTAGTTCTGAGAGTTGTTTTAATACACTTAAGAGAAATTGGTGGGCGTTAATATGTTTATTTTTCAAATATAACGAGACTCATGATAATAAATTGATCTAATTGGAAGCATAAATCCAATTTAAGTAACCGATGCCAGCATTCAACAATATTATAACTTAATTTTATCGAAAAAAAACAAATTAAATAAATTCTCAACTCTGATTTAACCAGAACTTTGTCCTGTGATGAATATTGAATATCGTTTGACTTGTACAATTACCTTTATTCTTTGTACATAAACAGTTGTACTTTGTAATTGTATGATTGTAATGGGTAATTGAAAACTTGTAATTGGTAATTGCAAAATTGGAATTGGTACTCGTACAATTGTACGTATACAATTATACTTAGCACGTTTGCAATTTTGGTTTTTACTTCCGATTCTAATTTGTACATATACAATTATGCTTGTACATTGTACATTTTTATAATTGTATTTTTACTTTTCATATGCAAATAATGTACTTGTGAAATTTTACTATATAGTTTAAAGCTGTACTATTTACTTATGCAAATATTGAACTTTTATAATTGTAAAACTGTACTTTGTACTTTTGTACAATTGTGTTTTGTACTTTTAAATTTTACACACGCAAACATGTTCAGGTTGTACCCCCGCCAAAGCTACCTGGATTGAAGAAAAACTTCAGAGGTCTTCTTGATCTTCTTGAATCAGATTTCTTGATCTACCTTCTTAACCTTGTTCTGGTCAGGGCAGACGACCTCAAGTCAAAGTGCTTCTCCGAAGATCAGGTTTGACAATATTACAGGGGTGTATATTTTCTTTTAAAATATTCCCCCCTTTTGAAAATCATTTTGTTCCTCTCAAAATTTAGGTAGAAATGATTTTAGAGGAAACATTTTTTTTTTGGGGGGGGGGGGGGAAGTATCATAAGGATAAAGAAAACTGTTATCATCTCATATCCTCCAACTTTTAATTTTCTAAGAATAATTTATTTCATTGAATTAAATGCACACTTGGAGCTTATGTATAAGATAGCACTAACCTTTAAGCCACAGTGAACGCTTATGATTTAAATAAGAAAGAAGTGATAAGTGCTTAATGAACGAACAAGTCTGTTAAAACGAGAAGTTGATTTTTAATTCAAAAGTTCCTGTTGGGTTTTGTCCTCTTCGTTTTTTACTTTTGATAAAAAAACCTAGGACCAAATTTAATGATTTTAAGCTAAGGTCAGATTCACCGACAAAAGGTCAAACGACACAGGGTCAAACGAAAAAGGATCAAACGACAAGAGGGTCTAACGACAAAGGGTCAAAAGTGCGACAAAGGGTCAAACGACAAAAGGTTAAAATGTTAAAAATATTTTTTGATTTTAATCATAGGAAACTCGCAACCCTCCTATCAATTTTGTACATGGATCTTATATGTTAGACATGGATATAATTGACCATGTGACCGCAGCGCTCGGCCCCCTAGCCTGTCCTAGCCGCAGCGCTCGGCCCAGAAAGTGTTTTAACTAACCTTACCCGTGGCCGCAGCGCTCGGCCCCTAGCCTGTCCTAGCCGGAGCGCTCGGCCCAGAAAGTGTCTTAACCTAACCTAACCCTAAATAATAATAAATAAATACTTACTGTAACATATGTCAAAATTTAAAAAAAAATTGCCCCTTTGTCGCATGTTTTGACCCTATGTTTTTACCCTTTGTCGTTTTACCCTTTGTTGCGCTTTTACCCTTTGTCGTTTGACCCAATGTCGTTTGACCCTTTGTCGTTTGACCCTGTGTCGTTTGACCCTGTGTCGTTTGACCCTTTGTCGGGGAACCTAAGGTCACTGAACTCTTTACCGTTGGTTCAAATCCTGAATCGCCGATTCAAAGTTATAGTCATGAGGATTTGAATCGGTGATTCAGGAAATGAACAGGTAGTAAGTAGTTCATCGACCTCTCCCAATTTATTAAATTCGGTCCTTGATTAAGGTGCATCGAGTCCTGTATCTGGTTGGAATAGGTCTATTAGAGGAAAATAGGATCAAGGATCAAGGTCTAGAAGGATCCTTCAAGTTCTCAGCTAAGGCTCGTGAGGTCGGGATGGTTTCAGCTCTGGAGGCACTGGTTGGGAGCCACAGGATAGCCTCACACAAGGAGCTCCTGGCCTGGGTTCTAGTCAAGTTGAAGCAAGCTCTAGGCCTAACAACTGAAACTGTATCCCAAGGTAAGATATACTAATATGTATCTAAGGTGGTTTTGCATAATTTTGTGGGTCGGAGGTAGTTTAAAGGGGCTTAGGGTGGTTAATCCATCCATCCCTCATCCATACCTAACATCTGGTCGCGTTAGGGCCTTGAAAAGACTATACATAGATATATTTTTAAGCGAGCCTCAATTTAACACTCAATTTTCATGAAAAAAGATAATGCTTGATTTAAAGGGTACCATTGTGGATCGGGCATACCACTCTATAAATGAAGGACAACTTGAGTTAAAATCTTTACTTGGCATCACCATAGATAAATAAATAAACATAGATAGCTTATGTACGCAAAATCACCAAGAATTGTACAGTCCGCGAACTCATACTTCTAGGGGTCAAATTGTACTTCAATGATAAGCGGGGTGGTTTTAATGAATTTCATAATTATTAAACCACTCAGGAGTGAATTTTATTTTGAGAATATCAATATATCACATTGACGAGAACTGAAGAAGGACATGAGAAGAACTAAACTAACTTAAATTTCTCTCTACAGAACTCATGTACACCACAAGTACTCAATGACATAAGAACAGCTAATGTTCACAACCGATCTAGTTAATCTATATAATTGGAATATCTTTAAAACATCTCTGTACATTTATATATTTCAAGATGAAAAATGTCGTCTTATGCGCAATCTATCTTTATCTATGGACATCACTGGTCTCTTTTCCATAGAAAACACTTTCATGAAAATGTCCAGCCCTGAGCTGGGAACTTTTGTTTTAGTTACTCATTATCCCGATTGCTCGATCTCGATATCAGCTGCGGGCACTTTTAATTATAGGAATGAGGATCAATGCTTAATCTCTTTGTTTTAGTAAGTCCTCCCCTGATAAAACCTCTCTTGAACCCTTGACTGGGAACGATTACATGCGGGAAGGATATCATTTAAAAATTTAACTATTCTGCAGATTATCAAAAGATCAAGATCAAGCAGTGATCTCGATATCCTGAATGACAATTTTTATTGACCTTTTTTAGTTGTTTTAGTTGTTAAAAATTCGTCTTCACGTTGAAAATAGAAAAAAACATTTACATCTTTAATGATGGTTCATTGTTCACCAAGTGCACCAAGGTTTAGAACTGGGTCCACTTTGAAGCTTCGCAACGCCTTTGGCTTGGGTTTCACCTCACCCCTCCACCTATATAATAGAAATTCCTGAACATGTTGATGATGAAAACAAGATTGCTAGTAAACTATTTATAATCTTTATAGGTACTCCTGAACATGATGATGATGAAAACAAGATTGCTAGTAAACTATTTATAATCTTTATAGAAACTCCTGAACATGATGATAATGAAAACAAGAATGCTAGAAAACTATATATAATCTTTATAGATACTCCTGAACATGTTGATAATGAAAACAAGAATGCTAGAAAACTATATATAATCTTTTTAGATATTCCTGAACATGTTGATAATGAAAACAAGAATGCTAGAAAACTATATATAATCTNATGTTTAGAAGAATGCTAAACTGTTTGATAATGTTTAGGAGAATGCTAAACTGTTTGATAATGTTTAGGAGAATACTAAACTGTTTGATAATGTTTAGAAAAATGCTAAACTGTTTGATAATGTTTAGAGGAATTCTAAACTGTTTGATAATGTTTAAGAAGAATGCTGAACTGTTTATGTTTAATAAGAATGCTGAACTGATTGATAATGTTTAGAAGAATGCTAAACTGTTTGATAATGTTTGAAGAGAATGCTGAACTGTTTGATAATGTTTAAGGAGAATGCTAAACTGTTTGATAATGTTTAAGGAGAATGCTAAACTGTTTGATAATGTTTAAGCGAGAATGCTGAACTGTTTAGAAGAATACTAAACTGTTTGATGATGTTAAGAAGAATGCTAAACTGTTTGATAATGTTTAGAAGAATGCTTAACTGTTTGATAATGTTTAAGGAGAAAGCTGAACTGTTTGATAATGTTAAGAAGAATGCTAAACTGTTTGATAATGTTTAGAAGAATGCGGAACTGTTTGATAATGTTTAAGGAGAAAGCTGAACTGTTTGATAATGTTTAGAAGAATACTAAACTGTTTGATAATGTTAAGGAGAATGCTAAACTGTTTGATAATGTTTAAAGGAATGCTTAACTGTTTGATAATGTTTGAGGAGAATGCTGAACTCTTTGATAATGTTAAGAAGAATGCTAAACTGTTGATAATGTTTAGAAGAATGCTGAACTGTTTGATAATGTTTAGAAGAATGCTGAACTGTTTGATAATGTTTAGGAGAATACTAAACTGTTTGATAATGTTTAGGAGAATGCTAAACTGTTTGATAATGTTTAGAAGAATGCTAAACTGTTTGATAATGTTTAGGAGAATGCTAAACTGTTTGATAATGTTTAAGGAGAATGCTAAACTGTTTGATAATGTTTAGAAGAATGCTAAACTGTTTGATGATGTTTAAGGAGAATGCTGAACTGTTTGATAATGTTTAGAAGAATGCTAAACTGTTTGATAATGTATAAGGAGAATGCTAAACTGTTTGATAATGTTTAGGAGAATACTAAACTGTTTGATAATGTTTAGAAGAATGCTTAACTGTTTGATAATGTTTAGTAGAGTGCTAAACTGTTTGATAATGTTTAAGGAGAATGCTAAATTGTTTGATAATGTTTAGGAGAATACTAAACTGTTTGATAATGTTTAGAAGAATGCTAAACTGTTTGATAATGTTTAGAAGAATGCTAAACTGTTTGATAATGTTTAAGGAGAATGCTAAATTGTTTGATAATGTTTAGAAGAATACTAAACTGTTTGATAATGTTTAGAAGAATGCTAAACTGTTTGATAATGTTTAAAGAATGCTAAACTGTTTGATAATGTTTAAGGAGAATGCTAAATTGTTTGATGAGACGCCGAGTGGATTACGGGATCATAAGATGTCCATGTGTGAATGGGATGTTGAGGTAGAGAATGGATTTCCAGGTAAAAAACTTTTACAAACATTTTTTAGTATTCAGTAGCAGGGTTTGATCCAGAAAAAATATTTTAAAATATATTTATGAATATGTTGATATGTTAATGTAGTTAAGCATTTATAGGACAGTTCAAAATCACAAAATGTTCAGCGATTTTTTATTTAAAGACTGAAATATTGGTTACTACTGTTATTACTTTTTAGTTTAAAGACTGAAATATTGGTTACTACTGTTTTTACCAACCCAAAAAATTTGAAAGGTCAAAAAAATTATCTAGCTAATGATCGTAATAGTAATCATAATTGTAAACGTAAACGTAATCTTAACCGTAATCTGAATTTCATGATCTAGCATTGGGGTTTAAAAACGATATATTGAATTTATCATTATTCTAGTTTGCCTGGGACCAAATAGATCACAAGCCAGTCCAATGGACAGTACATATACCTGTATACTATGTCAGGTAAGACAATGCAGCATGGCCCATAAAAGATGAGGCTGAATTTTAACGGAATAAGTCATTGTTCAGTCAATAAAGTGTGAATTATAAGCCTTTTTTTAATGATTTTGAAAACTGATATTTTAAATTGTGACTTCTCTACTGCAGGAAAACATCTAGGAATTATCAGGATTAAACACTTAAGCTTACGGTCCCTTAAATACAGTACTTCATTTCTTGCACATTAAAAAATTCAAAAAAACTAAGGGTTTACTTAGACTGAAGGAATTCCTAATGTTTGACATTACACTGCTGTAAATTATTCTGGCATTATTTAATGTTTTACAAAACATAATGGTAGATGTCAAAGTCTACTACAGTCAACAAGAATAGGTTCACACCCTCTGCTAATGGTGGATATCAAAGTCTACTACAGTCAACGAGAATACATTGCTACTTTTGTTGAATCAATATGTATTCATAAGTTTAATGAATGCATTCCTGAAAATGTTTTGATTATTTGAGTGCTGATTAATTATCTACTTCTAAATGCACAATCAATATATATTTAGTTGAGTTTTCAATTTGTATACTTTGTTTCAACAAATACGATCAAAACAAAATTATCAAACATTATATTTTTAATTGGCTCATAATAAATTTTCTTTTGTGTTTTATTTTAAGCTGAACCATCATGCATTATTATTTTGTATTTTGTGTTTGAAAACAAATACTATAACTATAACTATTTAAGGAGGATGAAGAGCTTAGCAATGATATTGACAGTAAAACTTTAGTGGCTGTGTCCTTTATTCAGAAGTCCACTGTGCTTTCAAGGTAATCATTTTCAAAAGCATATTTGGCTTGTCTGTTTTTTAGTCTTGGTTTTGTGTCCAGTAAACGTTATAAGGGCTAAACCAAACGCTGGTCAGGATTTTAGAAAATTTTATTTTATTGGGAATCTACCATTAAAATCCGAAAAAGCTTGGAATCTTACGTTGCAAGGTTTTTATAATGTACTAGCTAGGTAACCCAGCGTTGCCCACGGGAGTCATAGTTAGTCCCACCGTTTACCTGCCCCTTGTCGTAAATTACGATTTAGCTATTTTTCCCGTTAAAAGTGGACCAACCCAACTTCAAATCTAAAAACTAACTTATGATCGGACAAACACGCACAGACAGACATACAGAGATTGCAACTTATAAATATAGATTATATAATACAGGGGGAAAATGGCGAATTCTAAAGAAAACTTTTAAGGCTACAATCACAACAAACAAAAAAGGAAGTGGTGGGGGAGGTTTTAAGGACCTAGTATTATAATTATTTTGAGAAAGGAGGAAAAACTGATCTGTAATATAACCTTCTGTTTGGTTTCTTAAAAAACACTAAAAGCAGATTAGTTGGATAATTAAAAAAATACCTACTTATTTTTAAGCCTGAGATCGAATCTGACTAAAGATATAATATAATGAATAAAGTTCTTTAACTCATTGCTTTTATTTAGGTTAAAACCTGGAGAGGTTGAAAATAAATCTGAGTTTCCGTATTTGCGCAGCAGTCTTCACAATGCCCCGCACACTTCTAGCTGTGGTCACGTGATGCATGCCGCGTGCTGGAAGAAGTATTACGATGATATTGTGGAAACAGAACGAAGACGACACAGGTGAAATAAATGAATAATATGGGTTTAATTATGCTTACATATGAAAAAATAAAAAACTGATTTATTAAATAAATTTATCCCCATGCCGTACTATTAAGGGACGAGACTTAAGACGACTGTACGGAATTTTGACAGTCTTTAATCTATATAAAACCAAGGTTTCCTACAGCTGTGACCTTCTTTCTTCCTTCGCCACACTTTTTTCATTTGAGACAGAAAAATAAAATAAATTAGTAAATGAAAATAGTTGAAAATTTTCAAGTGGTCATCTAAGTCTCATTCTTTGTGAGTAACCCTGTATTTTGAAGAATTATCCGCCCCCCATTTGATTCGAATATTTTAGTGAAAAAATGAAAATTTAACATTAATTGGCAAGCCCCCTCTCCCCCCTCTTTTTAATACTTTTTTTTCATAATTTCATTTAGTTCATCCCACCAACTATTTATTTTCCCATTTTAAATTTTAAACTCTAATGTCAAGTCGGGTGAGGCATCCTGTTTCCTTTGATATTGAGAAAAGTGAGTTCCTCTGTCCGCTTTGTAGAAGTCTTTCAAACAGCGTCATCACAATTATTCCACAGGTAGACATTTTTTTTCAAGTTTTTTTTCAAGTCTATTCTGTTCTATTCTATTGTATTCTATTCTATTCTATTCTATTCTATTCTATTCTATTCTATTCTATTCTATTCTATTCTATTCTATTCTAGTACCATCTACTCCAGCTATTCTATTCTATTCTATTCTATTCTAGTACCATCTACTCCATCTATTCTAATCTATTCTATTATATTCTATTCTAGTACCATCTACTCCAGCAGCCAAGGCCTGACACTGGTGAACTAGAAAGTGAAGATGTTACTGGAGCAACAGCTGTCGTGGAACACTGGTATTTATTCACATTTTATTACAGTGAGAACCAGATAACTCTGGAATATAAAGTCTACTTTAAAACTCAAGTTATGAATTTAAATAGTTCAATGGATATGAGACACAGAAATTGTTTGACTTAATCAGTGATTTATAAAGTTAATAGTTAAACTATTTGCTTTGTAACAACATTACACTGAAATATTACTTTCATGTCGTCTTCCTATTCCATAATTTTCTAGTTCTCACTGTGCTTGGCTAGAGGGTAACAATGATTGTCGTCTTCTTTTTCATTCTTAAAGGGACTGTTGTTATTTTAAGTGATTTTTCATTAATAGAGTGGCAAGTCTTATTCACCACGGTTCCCTTTTTAAGTAAATATGTGGAAGATATCATCGTTTTCATTTTTCTGATAATTTCCTTTCTCTGCAGCACTTGAACCAAATTGAAAATAATATATTTTCAGTTTGAATAATAATGATATCTCTTTTATTCTTGATCAGAAAAAGGGTTGAAATAACGTCTTTAGGTACTTAAAAAGTCTCAAAGGATTTTGTGATTCTTAACTTTTTTATTTCTAAATATGTTCCCTGAAAATGTTATGAAATATATTAGTCATCATTATTTGAATTAAGATTCCCAATCGGAATTCCGTGGCGCGGAATTGCGCGGAATGAAAGGCCTCGCAATGGAGCACAAGTAGAATTCACTTGAGTTGGAAACCATAACTTAAATACATTTTTTCATAAAAAGATATTTTCTGGATAATATTTTCGAAGATAGATAGATAGATCGAACATAAATATAGATCGTACATTTCATTTTAAAAAATTCATAACGTAGAAGTACACATCTGAAGGAATTTTATGATGTAGGACAGAATTAATTCACGACCTTTAAGAAATATTAGAACGGGTGAAAATTTGTTAAAAATCGGAAATGATTTTTCAAATCTAGCTATGAAGTTTTTTTTCTGAAATTTCTTTTTTTGAAATTTTCAATTAATACAATTTCTCACCTATGTAATATCCTCTCCATGAAATTTCCCATCAATGAAATTTTCTTTTTATGTAATTTCTAACCTTTTAAATTTCCTGTTATTTAATTTACTATCTAAGAAATTTCCTCTCTATGTAATTTCCTAGTTTAAAGATTTCTTATCTATGAGATTTTCTGTTTATAAAATTTCTTATCTCTTTTTCTCTCCATAAAATCTCCCATCTATGAAATTTTTGGTCTTTGAAATTTGCTATTTATAAAATTTCTTCTCTATGAAATATCATATATATGTAATTCTTTTCTAAGAAACTTTGTCTATCCACACTTTGATCCATATTTCTAAAGATTTTACTTTAGTTATTTACTGTATCAAGGTATTTAATATAAAACTGTCTTTCATAGATTTCCTTTTTTCGCGTACTTTTGCTTTTCATAATGCTATTATAATTTGCTTTTCATAATGCTATTATAATTTACTTTTGCTTTTCATAATGCTATTATAATTTGCTTTTCATAATGCTATTATAATTTACTTTTGCTTTTCATAATGCTATTATAATTTACTTTTGTAACTTGATATTGATAAGTTTAAGAACACAGTCATTATAGGGAAACAAAGAAAATATGCTCCACTCGTATTACTTTTATGTTTTCAATACCTTAAGGTTAAAAACAAATAATTGTCGACTGATCATTTATTGAATGACCGGATTTTTTTTTTGATGTTGTGGGCGGGGGGCTATTAATTAACTCGTGCTCAGAAACCTAGAATTGCCCGGCAACTAAACTAAACTATGTATATTATTGTTTAGTGAAACTATGGAGACCTATGAGGACTTGAGTCCAGAACCAATGATGACCCAAACTGTTGAGTTCAGTAGTTCAGAACCACCAGGAGATCTTCAGCCCAGCAGTTCAGCTATTGTTCAAACCATATCTCTAGAGGCCGAACCAAATTCTCAGGTTCCGGCCACCAGCTCCAGTCCTACCCTAGAGCCGAGTATGGAGGTTGAACCTCCAGAGTCCCCGATGTTAGAAGTAGTTGACTATGTTGACGGTATGGAGGAGGAGGAGGAGGCTACTCAACTTATTGTTGATGATGCAGTTGCTGGAGATGTAGAAGAGTCTCCTGGAGTAGTTGGAACTACTAGTCTGGTAAACTACAGTTCTCGGCGATAATAGCTATACAATGAAGACTACTTTTTATTTAAGCTTTGATTGTTAACAGGCTGTTTTTGAATGAAAATTAACAAGCAATTAAATAATACCATTTTTAATTGACAGCTTTTCTATGGTCATGTGTATTCATGCTTGATGTAAATCAAAATTTAAATAAAAAGGTCGTCTTCCCTTTATTGATATATGCGACGACGGCTGTTATTATTTATAGAATTATACCTATAACAGGGTGTCCCACTAAAACGACAGTTGAAAGACGACTTCTAAATTTTAAAAATAGCCGAGAAATTGATTTTCAATGGGGAAAGAGATATAAATAATCTTGAATTTTCTAATCCCTGCATCTTTGAAACCTTATGTTATAAATATGTGATGTTTTAAATCAACTGTCTAATACAAAAGAATTAAAAATAGGAGTTTGAGGAGAAAACCAACTCTTTAAACCAAGATCAATATATTGGATAATATCTGAATCAATGCTGAGGTTCCGTTTTGGCTTCCTGAGTCCGGATCCGGATCCAAGGGGCAAAATATCAACCAAAAACTGTAAAAAAAAGTATTGCTCTCAAAACCCAAATCTCAACTGTTGAACAATGAGAGATCATTAAAAGCCTCATTATATCTACTTTCATGTCAGCAGATGAATCTCCCAAGGTTATTCATTCATTCATATTTTATAAACATTTATTCATTTATTCATTCATTCTTTCATCCTTTCATCCATCCTTTCATTCCTCCTTTCTTTCATTTATCCTTTCATTCATCTTCTCATACTACGTTTAATCCCTCTTTTCGACAGTTGGCCACACTGTGTCGTAACCAATTTGTAAATTAATATCTGTATGTTATGGATATTTTTGACAAAGTCTGAGCCCTGACTACTTCGGAGTGATGGTGGATCGTTTTTTTGTTTGTTTGTTTGTTTCATCTGTTCATAGTTACTACTTTTAATCGTATCTTTCGTTTTCTGTTTGTTTGTTTCGTCAACAACCCTAATAACGAACCCTAAATATTCTATTCTAGGAAACCTTTAAAAGTAATTTGGCCGGAAAAAGCGGCTGCGCGGGAAGTTCTATTTCCGGTGACTTTAGTTCGAATTTGGACGTAAACCTGAGTTATTCTGATTGGTTAGAAGCGCTCTTTATTGCCCTGAAATACAGGTTGGTAATTATTCAATTATACATAAATTATATTATTCAAAATGAAAAAGAAAAATAGAAAAATTATAAAAGGAGCAAACCTGAGATTCTTAGACTCCAGTGGGGTAAAATTGTTTTTAGATTGGTTGCATATTTGCTAAATATGGTCTCTTTAAACCTAATACTTTATATAAAATGTATATTTATGAATTTTCGTATAATTTTGACACAATTGTATATCAATTTATCGAGCCAGGAATATCAGATAGATGTCTTAAATGTATCGTTCAACGACTGAGATTATCCGGTTTCATCCTATACCCCCTTTCATTTTTCCTTTACAGTCCCTTTAAGTATTTATGGTAATAATTTTTAAATGTTACTTACAGTACCTGTTTAATATCCCTTTCAGGCGAGGATTGAGCCCGGACAAGGTTCGCAATGGAGGAGAAAGTGAACCACAGGACGAGGAGGAGATCCCGGTCAGTCGGACCAGTACACTCATCAGATACGATACCTGTCCACTAGACCAGGTACATTATAGTCGGACCAGTACACTTATTAGATACGATACCTGTCCACTAGACCAGGTACATTATAGTCGGACCAGTACACTTATCAGATACGATACTTGTCCACTAGACCAGGTACATTATAGTCGGACCAGTACACTCATCAGATACGATAAATGTCAGCTAGACCAGGTACATTATAGTAGGACCAGTACACTCATCAGATACGATACCTGTCCACTAGACCAGGTACATTATAGTCGGACCAGTACACTTATCAGATACGATACCTGTCCAATAGACCAGGTACATTATAGTCGGACCAGTACACTTATCAGATTCGATACATGTCCACTAGACCAGGTACATTATAGTCGGACCAGTACACTTATTAGATACGATACCTGTCCACTAGACCAGTACAGTACAGTACAATCTGTCCAAAGCCCGAAATTTAAAAATAGTATAGTTGAACGAAACTCCCAAGTTTCCTTTTTGGGGTCTTCACATTTTGTAGATTTTGATTCAAGAGATTCGACAAAAAATGGAGAATATGAAGAAACTATATAGGATAATATTTCACAACAAAAATAATAATATCCACAAAACTGTCTAACCCCATTCGTGAAACAGTACAGTGCAGTACAGTACAGTACAGTACAGTACAGTACAGTACAGTACAGTACAGTACAGTACAGTACAGTACAGTACTGTACAGTACAGTACAGTTCAGTCCAGTCCAGTCGTCAGATATAATACAAGACTTATTTCTTACTCTAACATTTAGAGACACATTCTGTTTAAAAACAATCCTAATGACGTAAAACGTTGATGACAAACTATTTTCTCTTTTTCCATATATTCTTTTAGAATAAAATCTAAAGACACGAAACCTTTGTCAGCCTGAATAGGGTTAACTTACATACATTTTACTTTTTTTATAAACCTGAAAAGTGAGATTTAGTTTTAATTTAAAATTTCCATTTAATGAGCGAACTGTCAGATTCAACCCGATACTCTAAATTACCAAGAACAAATGAGATTTATATGAGGGAAGCGGTTAGATAACTTTATTATTTGTATAAATTAAGGTTGTCGCTGAACTAGAAGCGTCCCACCATGACGGCAGATCATTTGCCCGTCTCTTCACTGTGGCGGAGGGCGGAGAACTTGTTTTCCCAACTTCAGTTTATGAAATTATGAATTCCTTCTGTCAGACAACATTTAGGTAAATATTTGCGGGGCCGGGATTATTTTCTAATTTAGTTTGAATATTGCGTTACCCATTATTTGTTTCAGAGTAAACATATGGCATAGTTAATGTTTTTTTTAAGTCGACATAATCATGCATAAAATTTAGCGAAATGAAAGTGCAGATATTACTTTCAGGATTTTTTACTCTCTTCAGTTTAAACTTATTTTTTTGTCAAGAAGAACTAAAGACTGCCCCAAAAATGATTTTTTGAAAACTCATTGTTAAAAAGAAATTTAAAAAATATAATGTGACGAAATTGGTTACGTAGGTTTTACACTCAAACAATGTTTTTAAAGCATTGCATTTCATCTTGATACTTAAGAATCTTTACAACATTTTGTTTCTTTTTTCCCGCTTATCTTTAACTTGAAACATGGGGAACCATTCCAAAGATTAAGAAGTTTTTGATTATCTCTGACTAATTAATACTTGCTATTTGTATTTTGAGAGAAAAGAGTTTTTTTTTTCAGCAGAATTTGGTTGATATTTCACCTCTTGGATGCGGATCCAGGAATCCGAATATTTTTTCGGATAAGGATCCTAAGCACTATTTTGTTGATTGAGATTGATTGATTGCAGAATAAGCCTGGGTGAGCTGCCTCATATCCTGGATGAGATGATTCCTCTTATGGTCTGGCAGTCTTGTGCATTCTCAATCACAAGCATTGTAGTTTCAGCTATGGACATAGAGAAACCAGTTCTAGGTAGGTGGACATAGAGAAACCAGTTCTAGGTAGGTGGATATAGAGAAACCAGCTCTAAATAGGTGGACATAGAGAAACCAGTTCTAGGTAGGCGGATATAGAGAAACCAGCTCTAGGTAGGTGGACATAGAGAAACCAGTTCTAGGTAGGTGGATATAGAAAAACCAGTTCTAGATAGGTGGACATAGAGAAGTCAGTTCTAGGTAGGTGGATATAGAGAAACCAGTTGTAGATAGGTGGATACAGAGAAACCAGTTCTAGGTACGTGGATATAGAGAAACCAGTTCTAGATAGGTGGATATAGAGAAACCAGTTCTAGGTAGGTGGATCAGAACGGGGTTAGGGCCGGGCAGGTACTAACTTAGCTGAGCATTTCTCATCACTGACTCAGTGATTCATTATTATTTTAAAAAATTTCAACATAATTTTGTCAAACTTTCCTGAAATTGAATAAAAAGTTATTGCGCATGGAGAGTGGAAACCCTAAAAAGGAAGAGTGGGATTCATAACAGATTTGTCCTTGTATTTATCAATTGTTTTTCTTCAATTAATTATTCATATTCCAGGATCCCTGTCCTCTCGTCAAAATGATTGTTTGTCAACATTAATCCGGTTTTGTGGCGTAGTTGGATCTAACTTCGGAAACCCTAAGGTTATTAGGTAAGAACCAAGGAAAAACACCAAGAATCTCGAATCTCTTTGTTTACAACAACAATGTGTACTGGACGTTCTGGGAGAAATGTAAACACACCCAGCACTGTTTATATTTCTTCCAGTAGCTGCAGTACATATTTATGCAAATTAGATAAAGTACAGTGTTCCTAGTGCTTCTATAAAACTAAATTTCTAGCAACCAAATCTGTAAGACTGCAACGATGTCAACATGTAAAATAATTCCTGCAGTGGTATATTTTTATAAACATCAGCCGCCCTTTGGAGAAAAAGATGTTTTTCCACAAGTTGGATATGTTTCTTTAAATGTAAAGTTTTGAAATTTTTCTTGCAGAATTTAGGGAAATTTACAAAAATTTGGGCGCAAAATATCTAAAAGATTAAAAACTTGAATCTTGATGTTCAAATTTATAATTTATTATCACTATTAATAAATTTCTTTTTAGATCGCACAGTTTAAAGCTTTTATCTACTGTACTGGAGGTAGATACAAGCAACCCATCCCTCCTAGAGCTAGATATGTTCAGTTTACTGGTTGCTCTTACATACTCTCTTCCAAGTCTTTTCAATGGAGAAGGTAAGCCCATCCCCCCTATAGCTAGATATGTGNTTACATACTCTCTTCCTAGTCTTCCTAGTCTAGGTAAACAAGGAGCTTGATACGTCCAGAACCCCGGCTCCCGCCCCTCCCTCTCATACTCTCTTCCTAGTCTTCCTAGTCTAGGTAAACAAGGAGCTTGATACGTCCAGAACCCCGGCTCCCGCCCCTCCCTCTCTTCTATCTAGTTTTCTAAATAAAAACATCATTGATCATCTATCTATCAACCTAACCAATAACCATCCATATTCTTGCTTCATATATCCTTTTCATTGAAGTATGTAATAGATTTATAACTGAGAAATTAATCATGTTTTAATAAAAGTATATTAGATTATTTCCATGACGCAGGTTCAATATTATTTTATTAACAACCTTAAATGATTCATAATGAGATATCTATCTATCTATCTATCTATCTATCTATTTATCTCTATCTATTTAGGAGCTGCCCCCCTACCCTCCTGTAATATCCAAGACCTCCATCTACTCCGTCTCCTGCTAACTGCTCATATAACCCAACTACTCTTTAACCTTGAAGAACTAGAAAACACTGAGGTTAGTAACAACAATAATGATGATAATAATAGCATAATATGCGTAGGAAGAAAGTGTAATAGTCAAAATTTTGTTAAAATATTGAAAGAAAAACCGTGGAATAATCTTTCAATATTATAACATTAATTTTGATTATTACACTTTCTTTCTACGCATAATAATATTATACCACATTCTTGGAGGATTTGAATGCATTCCCAGAATTACATTGTTAACTTCTATTTTAACCTGAAAGGACCAGTAATTTGTAATAACTTTTGTAATAATAGAGGTAAAGGATAATAACTTTGCACATATGTAAATTCTTTCAATTAATAAGGAACAGAAGGAAAATGCTCAATTCTTTCCCCTTATCTTATCAGGGGCGTAGATAGGGGACCGGTATTCATATAAATATTTTTTCATGTCCATTCATCATACTTATTTTAAGATTTTAGGTCTTTCAGTATTTTAGGCTATGAAAATAAAGCCTAACAAAGATATGATCAGAATGCAAGATTAGCCTTGTAAGACTTAAGGACTAAAAAGCCAACTGTCCGGGGGATCGTTAGATCTGCAACTATAGCCAATAAAAATATAAATATATTGGGAATGAAGAGCTTGATTATATAGATAATGATAGTAACAGTGATGATAATTATAAAGATAATATTAATGTTGATGATATTGATGAAAATGATGATAATGATAATAACAATAACGATGATAATTCTGAGTAAAATAATAATGATAATATTATTAATACAAATGATTATAATAATGATGATAATAATGTGACCCATTATCCTAATAATAATGATAATGATGATTTATATTTTCTTTATAAAAATTGATTATTTCAGGTTGAAAAAGACGGATTTATTGTTGAGAAAGATTGTCAGTGTATCCTTGACTTACTTCACATAGTTCAGGTTCCAAACCTTTTTATCCCATAAATGCATTTCTTCCTTTACTTACTTCACATATTTCAGGTTCCAAACCATTTTTTCCCATAAATGCATTTCTTCATTTACTCACTTCACATATTTCAGGTTCCAAACCTTTTTTCCCCATAAATGCATTTCTTCGTTTACTTACTTCACATATTTCAGGTTACAAACCTTTTTTTCCCATAAATGCATTTCTTCCTTTACTTACTTCTCATATTTCAGGTTCCAAACCTTTTTTCCCATAAATGCATTTCTTCCTTTACTTACTTCACATATTTCAGGTTCCAAACGGTTCCAAACCTTTTTTTTAATAAATGCATTTCTTCCTTTACTCACTTCACATAGTTCAGGTTCCAAACCTTTTCCCCCATAAATGCACTTATTCCTTGACTTACCTAACATAGTTCAGGTTCCAAACCTTTTTTTCCCATAAATGCATTTCTTCCTTTACTTACTTCACATATTTCTGGTTCCAAACCATTTTTTCCCATAAATGCATTTCTTCCTTTACTTCACATAGTTCAGGTTCCAAACCTTTTTTCCCATAAATGCATTTCTTCCTTTACTTACTTCACATATTTCAGGTTCCAAACCTTTTTTCCCATAAATATGCATTTTATATTTTTTCATACTTTTTCAGAAAACTTTAGATTTTTATTCATAAATTTTTCATTTTTTAAAAAGTTATTTTATCGTTGTTCCCTTCTTTATACAAAGAAAAAATAACTTTTTAAAAAATGAAAAAATGATGAGTAAAAATCCAAAGTATGATATTATTTGATAATTTTAGATATTTTCACAGGCTTTTCCCTTAACTGAATTTGCTTGATTTTTAAAAGTTCAATTCTTCTTATATTTTAAATTGTAGTGGTCGGCGTTTATATCAATACAATGACGATGCCTTCTCTATTTAACATTCGTTGTCTAATAAGCTTATTCTGAAATCATAATTTTACAAACAAACAAATTGAGAAGCTGTTAATTGACAGCTTCTCGGATTACGCCTTAATAAGTTTTTTCCTTCTTAATTTTTGTTTTCTACTTTATTTGATTAGTTCTAGATAATTTCAAAATGATTTCACACATTTTTCATTTCTCACTTAATACTGAAATTATTAAATTGTTTATGTTTTGATATTTCCTTTTTTATTATCCTTCTTATGTAATGAATCGTTTTTTTAAGATTAAAAAGATTTGCAGTGCTTAAAACCTTTATCTGATTAATAATGTGGAAGATATAGTCGTTTTTCTCTGGTTAAATATGTTAACTCTGATAATTCCTAAATACGTTCCTTCACTAGAAATGTAATTGTAAATAGTTAGTTTTTTAATCAAATTAACTTAAATCAAATCATGAAGGTTCAAGAAATGAATGAGATCTAATTTATAATTGAACAGACAAAGCTTTAAAGGGTAACGTTGAAATTATGCTTACAGTCCATTTTACTTAATTCAATTATGCTTACAGTCCCTTTATTGATGTAACATAACGTCATTTAACCGAGATGTTTTTTTTAGAGCTTTTACTCAATTCAATTATGCTTACAGTCCCTTTATTGATGTAACATAACGTCATTTAACCGAGATGTTTTTATTCAATTATGCTTACAGTCCCTTTATTGATGTAACATAACGTCATTTAACCGAGATGTTTTTTTTAGAGCTTTTACTCAATTCAATTATGCTTACAGTCCCTTTATTGATGTAACATAACGTCATTTAACCGAGATGTTTTTTTAGAGCTTTTACTTAATTCAATTCTTTTCTGATAATTTAAGGAACCCAAGTCTATTGAGAGATCAACAATTCGGGATCCTAATCCCGTAATAATCTGGCAGAAGGTTAGTAGAATTATTTAACAAATTGTCAAATTTTAATCATGTTTTAGATCGTAAAGATATAACTTATTATTTGAGAGACATTTTAAAAAATTTCGCACATTCCCTTGAAACCTGTTCTAGTTGTACACAGTCCCTTGAAACCTGTTTTAGTTGTACACAGTCCCTTGAAACCTGTTCTAGTTGTACACAGTCCCTTAAAACCTGTTTTAGTTGTGCAGAGTCCATTAAAACCTGTTCTAGTTGTACGTAGTCCCTTGAAACCTGTTCTATATGTACACATTCCCTTGAAACCTGTTCAAGTTGAACACAGTCCCTTGACACCTTTTCTAGATTTACACAGTGCCTTGAAACCTGTTCTATATGTACACATTCCCTTGAAACCTGTTCAAGTTGTACACAGTCCCTTGACACCTTTTCTAGATGTACACAGTCCCTTGAAACCTGTTACAATTTTATACAGTTCCTTGAAACCTGTTCTATATGTACACATTCCCTTGAAACCTGTTCAAGTTGTACACAGTCCCTTGACACCTTTTCTAGATGTACACAGTCCCTTGAAACCTGTTACAATTTTATACAGTTCCTTGAAACCTGTTATAATTGTATACAGTCCCTTGAAACCTGTTCTAGTTGTACACAGTCCCCTGAAACCTGTTGTATGTTCTAGATAATGGTGTGCAGCCTAGGGTTTCTCCGAAGTGCAGCACTGTTCTATCAATATTTATCTGGAGTTCTTGCTCCACCTGAACTCAACAATATACTTCCACCAAACCAGGGATATTCAGAAACTAAACAATCTTTTTTATATTCTCAACGGTGTAAAAGAAGAAATTATTTTTTGAAACGACAATAAGGAAACTTTTATATATTAAACAACGTTTTAAGCGTTTAAGTGTTGTGGTCAGTCATTCGTCTAAAAGTGGATTTAGAATATTGTTTCTAAATTTAGGAGTTTATACTTTTATGCAGATATCTTTCTCTTCCCAGTACACCCAGGTAGTTTTAACCCTTTTCTTCCTGACCATTGAGAAACCAGGGGGGGNTAATCAGTCTAAATCTTTTAAACCCTATGCACTCCTTCAGTTAAATGAAATATAACCCTACTTTAAACACAATGAATTATTGAAAATTATTCTATTAGAAACAATTAAACCTCTTGGATAAAATTTTCCTAAATATAGGCAAAGGGAAGAAAATGAAAATATTTTTTAAACATGGCAGCGCGTTTTTTTATCACTTACCTATACAATGAGAACCAGAAAACTCTGGAAGAGAAATACGACGGTTAGACTCACATTATGATTTTAAATAGTCCAATGTACAGTGTACAATGTGCATTGTGCAGTGTGCAGTGTGCAGTGTGCATAGACCATTTAACTTTATTTAAATTGATTTTTAACTACTAGTAAAACTTTTGACTTTGTAACAACATCAAATACACTTTAAAATCGTCTTCCTATTCCACAATTTCATGGTTCTTACTGTAAATAAACCTTAAAATACCCCTTCGAGTTCCGAAGTTTGTGTTAAAAGTATCAAAAAGAATAAAAAAACTTGCCTTTTAGTGTTCAATTTAACATTTTTTTTCACTATATTTCAGCAAAAATCACCGCCCCCCTCCCCCAAGTTCATTTAGATAATAATCTAATTGATGGGCGTAATGATAATCTAACCAAGGTTTACTTCATTCAACCTACGACGTATATATCTAAATTGGACAGCAAACGAGCAGTCATGTTTTTTGGCAACATTTATATTTCTAAAACTTAAAAAACCAGATCATCTTGGGATTTGAGAGGGGAGGAGTGAGGAGGGAACCTTGAGAGTCTGATTTGATTTTTGTAGCTTTTTAACCCTTTTTTTTGCAGGTTCCACAATTGGTCTCACTTCCCAGGGATTACAGTGAACTCATGAATAGTGTTTCATGCTTCTCATGTCCTAGAGCTTCCGGTATATATTCATTCATTCATTCATTCATTCATCCACCTATACTGATCAAACAGACAAGCAAAGTATATAATTAGATTTGATTTTTAAATACCAATTTTTTTTCCTCTTTGGGGGGGGGGGGCTGAATTATCCCTACAAAATCGTTGTTTTTATTTTTCCATACCTTGTATGTCTTATAGGCTTCTGATTTTTTAAATATAATTCTTTATCAGTAGACTAAATAATCATCCATATGAAATTTTGGTGGTTTAAAAGTTTTTATGAGAGCTGAAAATTTAATACTACAAAACTTGTCTGAAAGGGAAAAATTGACGAAATAAAATTTGTCAAATTTGTTAAGCCTGTTCTTTTCTGCTTTTATTTAGTGGATTTCGAAAAAAAATTCTTTGTACAAAGTCCAACTAATAATTTCGTGAATTTTTCTGTAAGCATCGATGGATTTTCAAAACTTCTAAAATTCTTTGTTTTTGTCGTGGTAAGATTTTTTAATTTCAACCGACCATAACCCTTCCTCGGGGTTACGTTAGATACCATGAAAAAATGTGGACCTAATCGGTTCAGTCAATTTTGTTTTTACGTTTTTAGATTTAAACAAACTGACAAACCAAATTATAAATAAAAAAGAAAGACAGGTTTAGTATTGATATTTAGGCAACTACTGAACTCTGATTTCTCCTTGGCTTTGGTTAGAAAATGGTCTAATCATCCTAATGTTCATATTCTCCTCTCCAATCCAACTCCAGCTAACATGTCCTTCTGCCTAAAGGTATTTAAAGGGACTGTGAGCGTAATTTTAATTGACTCTTCATAAAAAGATGGCAATTTACGACTCACAACGATACCCTTACAACCTTTACCTTATCAATACTGATGGAGATATTATCGTTTTCTAGGTTTAAAAGTGTTAATTCTGATAATTTCTCTATTTTTCCTGACATAGAAATGCGCAAGACACTTTTTTAAAGAGCCCACTATTGAAAATAATCAGTTTTAAAATCATAAACAATAATATCTAATTCATACTTAATCAGACAAAGCTTCTATGGATACACCGTTGAGAAAATGGAATTTTCATTTTTACATAAAGGGTCACTTGAACTTACACGTACAGTCCCTTTAATATTACACGTACAGTCCCTTTAATATTACACGTACAGTCCCTTTAATATTACACATACAGTCCCTATATTTGAAATTACACGTACAGTCCCTTTAATATTTAAAATTACACGTACAGTCCCTTTAATATTTGCACTTATTTGTAAATAATAGTTCTATGACGTAGGCAATAGATGAAAAATTAAATAATTAATTTTATTTAAACAAAATTAGTGTTATCTTAAAAAACAATTTAATCAGTCTAAATCTTTTAAACCCTATGCACNATATTAAATTAATATTATATTTAATGAAAGTTCAATGTGTTTCGTCCAATGCATTTGTTTAAGTTTTGATCAATAATGTGGTAGAAATTATCATTCTGTTTTGCTCTAAAAATTTTTATTGTTTTCCTGTGAAGTAAAACTCCCTTTTGTAGAGAAAACACAATTGGAAACAATCAGTTTTCCAAATTATAAACATTAATATCCAAGGGTAACATTGTCATCGAACTATGGACTGAATTGAAATTACGTTTACAGTCCCTTTAATTGAATCGACTTAATGGAATTTGGCGTTGTTCTCCGTAACTACGAGTATTGAGTATAACATGACTTGTTTAGGAGACGAATCTCGAGCACCCTCGATGTGCTTACTGTGCGGGGAGGTCGTCTGCTCACAGTCATACTGCTGTCAAGGTAATATAAAGGGTACACTGTACTGTATACCCAGTATGCTGTACACTATACACTGTACAATGTACTCTGTACTTACGCCATATACTGTATACTGTAGACTGTATTGTACTTCACAAAAGTGTGCTGTTGAGCTATTGATAACAGTGTAAAGTGTTCACTGTATATTAGATTGTGTACAGTTTACTTTAAAATACCTCTAGCTTGAGAACACATCGTTGCCCAGGGGAGTCCAAGTTACTTCCGCCGTTTACCCGCGCTTGGTCGTAAATTAAAATTTTAGCTATTTTCCCCCGTAAAAGTGGACCCACTGTGTATACTGTACTGTTCTGTATTGTATTGAATTGTATTTTATTGTATAGGAGAGCTAGATGGTATAACTGTGGGAGCCTGCACAGCTCACGCTGACCGTTGCGGCGCCGGATCAGGATTTTTCCTAAGGTAAAACAACTTTTTACATTTAAAAAAAATCAGTTTCGTATTTTTAAACTTTTTCAACTGCTTGGTAGGTATTTTCATCACAAACTTGTACTCTGTCAAAAACTTCATTATTTATTTTATAATTTTTTAATATCTTTTGTCAATTGCTTGTAGGTATTTTAATCAGAAAACTTGCACATGACTAAAAAAATATAAATTCCCTGATGATTAATTAAACATTTGTTTCACATTAACGCGTGGTTTGGCATTTTCAATCAATTGATTGTGTCATCAATCAACAGTTCTTGGGATCCAATGACCATGACCATTTCTTAAAGATTTACATATTGTTTTTTAACATGAAAATTTTACAATCTTATTTTTTTTTTCTTTTTTATTTGTACTTTAAAATCATTCAGAGATTAGTAAGGTTTTGTTAATAATATCTGTAAAGCGTTGAAATTTAATGGTATTATAGCAGAACAAGCTTTAGTTTGAGCAGATATTTTCCCCGTGGTGGATCCGTAGCCGTGGAGCCCCATATTTAAGGGGATCAGGATTTAGGAGGCCAATATGTTGCGGATCCTATGATTTCTGATCCTAAGCACTGCACTGAACTGCACTGCACTGCACTGCACTGCACTGCACTGCACTGCACTGCACTACTGTACTGTACTGTACTGTACTGTACTGTACTGTACTGTACTGTACTGTACTGTACTGTACTGTACTGTACTGTACTGTACTGTACGGAACTGTATGGTACTGTACGGTACTTCACTGTACTGTACGGTACTGTACGATACTTACGATACAGTACTGTACACTACTGAACTATATTATTATGTACAGGGTACGTGAGTGTAAGATAATAATGTTGAGTGGAAGAACTCGTGGATGCTTCGTGTCTCCTCCCTACCTGGACCAGTACGGCGAAACAGATCAGGGACTTAAACGCGGTGCACCTCTCACACTCTGTACTCAGAGGTAGGCCTTAAACGCGCTACAGTGTACTTAAAGTTTATTTTTAGCTGCTCTTCTCCATAAGGTATCTCTTAAGGACTAAGCCACTATTTGTGGCAGATTATATGGAAAAAGATTAGTATATTTGATAAACAGGGTTACCTACATAAGATGAGACTGTAAAGACGACCAAAAACTAAAAAATAAGACGATTTGAAGCCTGATTTTGGTTTCTATTCAATTTAGTATTTTGATGGTTTACTAAATGGTTAAGCACAGAAATATAGCAAATTTTAGTCTTCAAGGAAGTCTGAATGCAAGAAAACTGACTAAACAAAATCCATACGATCGTCTCTGAAGACTTTGTGGGTAACCCTGTATAATTGTGGCAGATTTTTGTAAGTTAGACCCTGTATTTAGGTATGAAAAGTTAAGGCGGGTCTGGTTAAACCACAGTATTCCTGAGGAGGTCTCTCATACCATAGAAGTAGCTTCAGGTAATACACAGACAAACAGATAGTAGACACAGACATATAGATAGTTGACACAGATTTACAGATAGTAAGCATAGTAGACATTTATATACTTAACACAGATATGAATATAGTAGGCATAGATATAAAGATAGTAGACACAGGCATACGGATAGTAGACATAGATATACAGATAATAGACAGAGACATACAGGGTGAGTTAAAAAAAACATGGATTATCGATGTTTTGGACGATTTTTTAAAATTTTTATTTTATCCGGATTTCAGGCATCAATAAAATTAAATGTGACAACAAAAAATTAAAAAATAATTTTGGAACATAGAAAAAAAAATTGTGTTTAACTTTAGTGAGACTATATTGAGTTAAAGCTGTTTTCCGAAAAGTTAAGCTTTTTATAACCAAATAACGCGCTTTAGTCTAACAGTTATAGGGTTATAATTTGATAACATAAATTCAGAATTCCACTCCAATTTTCTTGCGGGTTTTTTTGTTATAACTCGCTCAATTTTTGATAAATTCTTATGAAATTTTGGAGAATAATTAAATAAATATATTCCCAACAATTTTTCTAAAAATTTAATTATTTAGAAAAAAATTATGTTTTCTTTTTAATGTTCCAAAATTATTTTAGATTTTTAAAATTTTGTTTATGCCTAAAATCCGAACAAAATATTAGTTTTTATCAAAACATTGATAATCCCTGTTTTTTTATTCACCCTGTACATGTAGCAGAAATTTAGGTATCCTGGAAATATAGGCAGACATCCTAGAAATATAGGCTGAGATAGACTGACAACACAGATATAAATACAGACAACATGGAAATACAAACTTACAACACAGAAATACAGACAGACAACATGGAAATACAGACTGTCAACACAGAAATACAGACAGACAACGCAAAACTACAGACAGACAACATAGTAAAATTGACGGAAAACATAAAAAACTAGATAGAAAAGCTAAACATCCTGAAAGACGAATAAAATAGAAACGCAGAAATATAACATGAAATACAGAAATCATGAAATGCAGAAATTTAACATGAAATACAGAAATATAACACGAAAAGCAGAAATTTAACATGAAATACAGAAATAAAACATGAAATACAGAAATATAACAAGAAATACAGAAATATAACATGAAATACAGAAATATAACATGAAATATAGACAGAAAAGATAGTTGATATTATATACTCGGAAACAGATAAACAACTGATTTGATTTTATATTTGTTTAGGATACAATACAACTGATTGGATTCATCTGTAGATATGTATACAGAACAGATGAAATAGCTGTGTTGTACTCAACAGCTGTGTACGTGTTGTACTGTACAGAACAGCTGTACTGTGTACATAACAATACCATTTATTTGTACACGTGTACAGCAAATAAATTTAGATTCTGAATTGTTTTCAAAATTTAAAATTAATAATTTTTTTGATCCATACTTTGCTGGTTCTAGGTTTATTTGTAATCTCCTAGTAAATTTGTATATAAAAGTAACATTAGATTTATATGTTTATTTTGAAATATATATTATGAGAATATTTCTAGTTTATTGTTTTAAAATGGAAAGATGGTGTTTAAAAGGCAAAGAGAATAGAATATATATTCGAGGGGAATTTAGACACTCCCTCGGTATGAATTTTTTCAGTCCCTTTCAGTCTGAAAGGGAGTTCAAAGTGTACAAATCATGTAAATGTTCACAAATTATATGCAGGAGAGTACACAAATACAGTATGTTCCCTAGACTATCCATTTCAATTTCGAATCTTTTAAAGCTGTTAAATAAACTTTATGATAAATTCAGGGTGGCCAAAATGTACGGATTGTACGGATTGTTTTTTTTAACCCTAAAATTGTACGGATTTGTTTTCAAATTGTACGGATTGTACGGATTTTTATCCTGGAAAATACACCGTTTTTTTAAATTTTCACTCATTTATTATATGTTTATTTTGAAATATATATTATGAGAACATTTTTAGTTTATTGTTTTAAAATGGAAAGATGGTGTTTAAAAGGCAAAGAGAATAGAATTTATATTAGAGTGGAATTTAGACACTCCCTCGGTATGAATTTTTTCAGTCCCTTATAGTCTGTAAGGGAGTTCAAAGTGTACAAATCATGTAAATGTTCACAAATTATATGCAGGAGAGTACATAAATACAGTATGTTCCCTAGACTATCCATTTCAATTTCGAATTTTTTAGAGCTGTTAAATAAACTTCATAGAATGAATTAGGTGTATAAAAAACATCATTTGATTTATAGTTATAACAGAAAATCATCGTTTGTAAAGTGGAAGGCATATAGTCTATGTGAAATGATAATTGGTCAATTATGAAACCAGCCTATTTCAAAATTTAGTTTTCTTTCATATTCATTTCAGATTTTCTATAAAATGATGTTCCAGGGCCCAACAAGTTATATAGGATAAATATGTGAAGTACACCTGCAGTATGGAAACAGTACAACAAAATGGCCGTTTTACACTTCTTTCTAGTAAATTCCTCTCTAATATATATTCTATTCTCTTTGGTAAAAGGACTGTAGACGTAACTTCTTTATATTGATTCACAATAATATCCGTGTAGCGTGGGTAAAAATATCAAAATATTGATACATAATTTATTCAGGCAAAGCTTCAAGGGTTATGATTGTGAAAAGATAGGGTAAAAAGTTAAGTATTTCTCTAAACTAATATGTGCGCACGGTCTCACGTAAAAATGGAGCAGTATTTTGCCAATTACTCCTTTTGAACATAAGCTAAGACATATGCGTGCTGAAATTTTGAAATGTATGTGTATTGGGCTACAGAAATGTATAATAGAATTGCTATGGTAATAGTTTTTGAGCATGATCTAAGAAAGAACTCCGTCTATGTAGTTTAACTACTTCTTGCTTGTCATTACGTACTCTTAGCTATGAACAAAATTCAACAAGTGCGTAGAAACTCTTGTGTTAGATATCCTTAATCTCGACATCCACTCTGGACATTTTTGATTTTCTCTTTTGGATATCCATGCTGGTACCGAGTCCGACTAAATAAAGTTTGATGATTGATTGCGCGCAAAATTTACCAACTTTTTCCTGGGTGTCAAATAGAGATTCCGCAGATATACTAAAAGAGATCAAACCAATCGACATCCATAAAACAAGAGATTTCAGTTAAAGAAGGACTAGCAGAATATTTCAATATCATTTAATATAGCTCTACCCATAGATAGTATAAATAGAAGTTGTGGTTGGACACAGTATTGGATAGCTCTGCCCATAGAAAGTATAAATAGAAGTTGTTGTTGGACACAGTATTGGATAGCTCTGCCCATAGATAGTATAAATAGAAGTTGTGGTTGGACACAGTATTGGTTTTCAAGTTGTAAACATTCAAGATGCCGCAGCGCTCGGCCAGGAAATTGGCTTAGCCAACGCTGACCCAATATATGGTGAGATGACATCATATTATTTAACTTATCAAAAGTAATTAAATTCGACTTATTAAACATTACTATTTGACAAATAATGTTATTCAATTGTAGGAGAAATCGTATCCCCTCTCTATAGGATAAATAATGTAGAGTGCAGTTAAATTGTAGGAGAAATGGCGATTCTATCTCTGTGTGTAGTAGAATTGATGTGCAGGATTCAACTGAAGTTCAGGAAAAATCAAGCGACGGAAAAAAACGNCTTACAGCCCCAAGTCATAATTCATCCATTTGGTTTAAGGACATGTCCCTCTGTATCTTGACACAAAATTTGTTAAATGTTTTTTATTCGTTTATTTAAATCTCCGGGAAATAAAATCCATTTTTATTTAACGAATTCAATAAGAACATTAATTGATTTACTTTTGGTTTATGTATCATTGATATCACAGATAACTTGTAGTTAAAAATTTAATTCTGAAGTAATTTTCCTTAAAAAGATTGTTCATCTATTTAAAGAAATAATTCTCATTTTTTTTGAAAATTTCATAAGATGTTGGCAGACAACTTGAGGTATCCTGTTTAATTAGGACATTTCTCAAATAATTTCAGTTTTTTCAAGAAAGATAAAATATTACTTATAAAATTTGAAATTTCACATCTTGTGTAATCATATTAGACATTGGTACATTTTTTACAAGGAAATGATTGTATTTTTTTTTGGAACATTCATGATCGGTTAATTTGCTCGTTATTCTAAACATTTGAATATTTCTTGTATTTGCGTAGAGAAAAAACTAAACAAACTTTAAAAATGTTTCAATAAAATTAAGCACAAACTAATAAAATAGAAAAAAATGAATCATTTATTAGGATTGTGTAGATCTAGCATAGCAGCCTCCAATGTCACTCTTTTCCATCTGAAATAACAATAACAATAACAATAACAATAACAATAACAATAACAATAACAATACCAATACCAATACCAATAACAATGACAATAACAATAACAAGCGAGTAAAATTCATTTGCAATTTAAAATAACATATTTCCGGCGTTTCCGTTCTGCCTAAGACCAATCAAACATTTTGCGCAATTTTATCCTACAGGAAGTCCCAAGAAACTTGTCTGTAGAAAGACGTGCTGAAGGTCGTCTTTGATCGATGACGTTATTTGCCACATTCGTTTGTCAACCTAGTTTTATTATATGCATCCTAAAATGCTCCAGTCCTGGCATTTTCAAAATGAGGTGTGCCTCTTTTGTTTAAAATTAGGATTACGAATAAATGCCGTGACAATTATTTTAAAGATCAAGCAAGACCTTCAAGTCGTCTTGCTACTGTCACGTTTCGTGGGACACCCTGTATCTCCAAGGAATTAATCTAAAAAATCTAAAATATCCATAAGAATTTTAGATTACATTCCACTGAATTTAAGCTTTATAGAATTTAATATTTTCCGGCTATTTAATCAAATTTAATTCAAATAGTTAAAATTTTTTTTTAAGAATTTTCAATTTACACAAAATAATTTTAAATACAAAATTATTAACTTTAAGCAAGTATCACAAAGGCACCCTTACAACCATTATTCAATGATAAAAATCATTACAATCATTAATTCAATGATAAAAATGTATATAAATTATTTTTTTCTAAATAAGAGTTAATTCTGTCATTTGCTTATGTGCTTCTGCAGCACAAATCGGCAAGCAACTATTGAAGAGTGGAAATTATCAATATTTTTTCTCTGACGAAGGGTTAAGTGAATCGAGGATATTTTTCACTAAACCAAAAAACTAACCTGAGTCCTAGATTTTTAAACTTGATGAAGTTAAGACTGTGAGCCTCCCACATATGATTGGAACCAGTCCCATCTCTCAACCCCTTCACGATTAACAGGGTGAGTCAAAAAAAAGAAGCAGTATCAAACTTTTTCTTGTGCGATTTAGATTTTTGATAGTTTTGATTTTTTCAGATTTTTGTGAAAATTAGACAGTGAACAATACACAATACACAGTACAAAGTACACAATAAACAATACACAGTACACAGTACATTGTAGACAGTACACAGTACATAGTATATAGTACACAGTACACAGTACACGGTACACGGTACACGGTACACGGAACACGGAACACGGAACACGGAACACGGTACACAGTACACAGTACACGGTACACAGTATACATTACACAGTATACATTACAGAGTACAGAGTACAGAGTACAGAGTACAGAGTACACAGTAAGAGTACACAGTACACAGTACACAGTACACAGTACAGAGTACAGAGTAAACTGTACAGAGTACACAGTACAGAGTACAGAGTACAGAGTACAGAGTACAGAGTACACAGTACACAGTACACAGTACAGAGTGCAGAGTACAGAGTACAGAGTACAGAGTACAGAGTACAGAGTACAGAGTACAGAGTACAGAGTACAGAGTACAGAGTACAGAGTAAAGTACACAGTACACAGTACACACTATTACACACTTCACTATTCTGTTCACACTGTACACTACAGTCGAAGAAGAATAAGAAAGGCATTCATTACACAATCTGTTTCGTATAAAAATAATTTCGAACCTTCGAAACAAAATGAATGTTTAAAATAACCAAACATTTTCAAAACTTTTAATATTAAGCCACTTCATAATTGGGGGATCAGATTTAAGCTTAAATGTGTTACAATATCATTAACATTCTTTCCTTTCATAATTGAGAAAATTTACCAAAAAAAAAGTAAGAAAACTTTATACTTAACATATCTAAAATTTTTCAATTTTTTTAAAATTTTACCTTTAAGGGAACTTGAAAAGGGCACTTGGGACAGATGTAGGTAAAATCATCCCGACTCTCTTTTACAGGATTTACAATACAGGATATATCCTCAACCTGAAATAGGGATTATGTACACTTGTACAGTACCAACAGTACAGTTTAGCAAGTTAGGATATTGCATAACATATTCTTATTTTAAGTAATGTTATCGAATATCGAATATTTTCTAAGAAATAAATTTCAAGCTTTGAAAAAATAAATTAATATTATGAAATAATTTGAAAGCTTCCGCTGTAAAAAGATAATATAATATTAAGGTTGGAAGATTAGGCTAAAAGGGACTGTAAGCGTAATTATAAGTGACCCTCCATGCAAAGGGACAATTCCCGATTTACAACGGTAACCTTTGTCTGATCATCGAGTACAACTTGCAAACCAAGTATTTAACAATTAAAAGCGTTTTCGTAAATTAATGACAATAAGTTAGACAATCTGATCAGGTTTAAAGGGTACTTTTGTGAATCGTGCATTGTCACCTTTGCAGAGACTGTCACTTTAAATTACGCGCAGAGTCCCTTAAAAGGAGTGTTCACGAAAATTGAAAAAAGGTTGGTTCAATTTAACATGATAACATGATATTATAAATAATTCCTCGGATGAAAAATAAAATTATCATAACAAATCAACCAACCTTGATTTCAGTTTTAATAGGTTGGACGTATGGTTTAATTTCTAATCCTTCTTCCTTCTCTTCTTTCTCTTCAATATATTTCTTCTTCTCCGCGTTTACTTCTTTAACTTTATCTTCTTCTTCTTTTATATTATCTTCCAAATATGATTTCTGAGATATTTGACGAATAGGACGAGAGGTTTTATCTAATCTTTCATTTCCGGACGATTCTAGAAAGAAAGAAATAATTTGAACGATAAAATATTATCATGCCGTAATTAATTACTAAAATGGAAATGGAAAGGGGGGGGCACTAAACGTATTACTCTCTGGGAAATTTTAACATAAATTTTCATTCTCATAAGAAGCTGATTTTTTGCATGCGAATTCAAAAATATATATTGTAGAATCTACATTTCTTGGTTTGGAATGGATCTGAGATCAAAGACAAAATATGTGATAATTTTGCACGAGTGTTTAAAATCCCTTGAAGTCCAATGGCTTGTAAATTTCATTGTAAAACTAGTTTTTAGTTTGTCCTCTATGATTTTGCAAACTACAGTGTGAGATCTATGATATATATTACAAAATGTAGCTCCTGTGGATTAATTACCTGAATCTTCCGAATTGGTTTCGTAACTAATATCCTCTTTCCTTCTTGTCCTTCTTGCTTGCTTGACATGATTTTTTGTAGTTTTTCTATTCTTCTTTGAACTGGGATTTTCAACTTCCATTTCTTTATTTGAAGATTCCTGAGATGTGATGGAGCGTCTCGGTACAGATTTCTGCAAAATTGGTGTTTTACTACGATCATTGGAGCCCAGTACAGATCTTTGACAAACCTGGGTCTTTCTGCGATCATTGGAGCCCAGTACAGATTTCTGCAAAATTGGCGTTTTACTACGATCGTTGGAGCCGAGTACAGTTTTCTGCAAAACCTGCGACTTACTACGATTCATCCGACGGGTTGATCTCAGCTCCGTGTCATCAAACCCATGGAACTGTTCATCCGTCCTGGAGAAGAAATAATTTTAAAGGATCGCTTAAAGGAACTGTAGGCGCAATTTCATTTCAATCCTCAATTTAAAGAGAAAATGTCCGATTCACGGCAACTTTTGAACATCTATCGGCGTGTTCTATCAAACATAGTGTTCTTTATTGTCGCTGAAGAAGAAATGCGCAATTACTTTTGAAGCGAGACCCCAAATAAAAATAAACAAATTGTAGTCAGACAAATAAGTATATCTCGTTCATTTTTTATCTGATAAAGATTAAAAGGATGCCGCTGTAAACTGGACACGTCTATCTAAAAATGGAGGTTAGCCAATCAGAAGCCAGGGAATTTTCCATTCATCGAGATAAATCAATATCGGAATTATGGGTGTCCAACATATATCCAACAATAATTCCCTGCTCTGTTAAGGAAATTAGTCTTGAAACAAAATCTTATTTTAAATTTTTATATCTTCTCAACCTTAGATATTTTAACTATGGATTCTGTAAGATCAGATAGTCTGAGTTTGAAATATAAAAAAGGACTACGCTATAACATACTAGGTTGAAAAGATATACGAGATTAGAAAATTTGAGTTTGTGGCAAAGACTCAATTCATTTGTTTTTTCATGTCCTAATTCACACTCAGCTCATAATTGAGTCAATTCATTAGAACTTAAAGGGAAGAGAGCTTAAGCCTGATCACTACGAATTAAGGGTTGACCGCGATTATTATTATTATTATTATCATCACATTTATAGATTCTTTACGTAGGTTTTTTTTAGAAAAGGTCTAAGCAGACCCTGAAAAATTGAGCAAACCCTTGGAGGAAACAATATACATGACCGGAAATGACCTGTGCAGTACACATTAAAGCGTGCACAATGTGTACATCTTTGTTATTATGACAATTTAGTTTTTATTTTGCTTCCTTAGAACAAGGAATGCTTAATATATTCGAATTTTTTATCTTTTGTACACAAGTTCTCTTTTTAGCTCCAACTTCATAACAATAAAAAACGCTAAGGATATATCTGGAAAATATGAGCTAAAAGCTTTTCAAAGTGAGAGAATCAAAATAATTTTTTCCACCACCTGAAACTGAAAAGTGAGAAAATTATATCTCGCTACCTGGACAGATTTTCCACCACCTGAAACTGAAAAGTGAGAAAATTATATCTAGCTACCTGGACAGATTTTCCTCCTCTGAACTCGCATTTAATCTTAACGGAGTCACGTACAGTCGTGCATAACTCTGTGGTTTTATTAGAATTAGTAATTTGTTATAACTTTATAAACACAAAAAAATCAACTTTGTCGACATCTTTTAAACTAAAAAAAATCTCCCTCAAATTTACTAACAAAGTCAAGTCATTAAGATTACAGTAATTCCATTGACCAAGATGATAAGTTAAGAGAAAGTTTTATTCTTTCTCTACCCCATTGATAGTTAAACCCTAATCGATTATTGGTCTGAGCTCTGGCATTTAACAAGTGAGATGATTTTTTGACCAACATTACAGACCCATGATCCTCCCAACAGCGGAATTTTCAGTTCCCTAACTGTCCCTTAGGACAATTGAGTAAAAAAAACATCCCGTTCTACGATGTTTTCGTACAAATATTCTCGCATTTTAAATATCAAAAGACGATAAAATTATGTATAGTTACTTTTTCGGGAAATTAAAAAAGCCAAACCCATTAAACCAAAAATTTCCATTGTAGAATCAAAAGTTAGCAACTCTGATTTATAATTAAAATTCCACTATCCTCAAGATTAAAAAAATGGCCGTCAAGATGATCCTCTAGAGCCGTCTTCTCGTGAAGAACAGACATACTGCAGAACTTGCAGTTATACTCATTCATGGTTTCTTTATAGGCCTCCTTTCCCGTCTTATACTAAGATAATAATCATAATCATAATCATAGTTGAAGTCACGGTCAAATTTTTGGACATAGTCGTAGTCGTAGTCATCAGTCACTAGTCAAGTTCAGTATCAGTGTCAGTATCAGTAAAATCATAATAATCATAAATCATAATCATAATCATAATCACAATCCCCCAATATCACAATATCCCAATATCCCAATATCCCAATATCCCAATATCCCAATATCACAATATCACAATATCACAATCATAATGATAATGATAATGATAATGATAATGATAGTGATAGTGATAGTGATAGTGATAGTGATAGTGATAGTGATAGTGATAGTGATAGTGATAGTGATAGTGATAGTGATAGTGATAATGATAATGATGATCATGATCATGATCATGATCATAATCATAATCATAATCATAATCATTTTATGGACGTTTTTTCAACAACTCACTTCTTAAGCGAACAAAATCAGTCAGGGGTTTAACTTTTGAATAATGAATATTTATCTTGCCTTTGTAGGATGTTTCTCATCAATATGTTTTGTGATGATCTCTTTACTGAAGATTTCAAAGCTACATTTGGTGCAGGAGTAGGTGTTTCCGTCATACCAGTTCGGACCATCTGAAATAATTTTTCATTCAAATATTTTCCCAAAATCAAATCAAATCAAGCCAAATAAAGCCAACTCAAGCTAAATCAAGTAAAATGAAATGAAATGAAATGGAATGAATCTGTCCAGTTCATATAATTTCAAATCCAATCAAGCTCAAGTCCATTCCCCAAAGTGACATCATGAAAATTATAAGTGTATGCCCCACTTCCACATCTTTTACATCCAAAGTGTATTAACTTAATCAAGAATGAGATATGACTTGTGAAATATAATCAAAAAATCAAATGTTAAACTAAATTCATCTATCAAATTGAATAAAATAACCAATTAATTAAATAGTTGATTAATTTAATTAATCAATATAATCCAATGGTATTTTTAATCCAATAAATACACCAAACAAATCAAATCCATATAATTAAATCAAATTGAACCAATCAAATAGTCAATAATCCATAACAATCCAATAAATTAATCAAATTAACCAATTCAACTTTCCAACAGATTAACTATCTCCACAGTGTCAATTTCATTCTTATTTGAGATGAAAATGTTACCTACAACTTCTGTAGTCTGGTCATCCAGCAAGGTGTTATCCGTATCTCCACTTGAAGATCTTTGGGATCGTTTTTCTCTCTCGGGCAGATCTTCAGGTGTATCAGACGTCTCTTCAACGAGCAAAGAGTTAATCGAATCTTCACTTGAAGATCTTTGGGATCGTCTTTTTCTCTTGGGGAGATCTTCAGGTGTTTCACAATCAAGAGTATCCTTCCCTTTACTATGTCTGTGTTTGCCAGACTTCTTCGAGGAATTGGAAGTTGTTGAATTAAGCCTTCTTCGGTATGTTTCAGAGCTTGTGTTTGTGGAATTAGTATCAGTATTTTCAGATTGAAGCGGATAAAGATACCGTTTATTATAGTTAGGTATATTCAGGTCATGCTTCTTCAAATGTTTAGCAATTTTGGAATAATCAAAGATGAAGACTTCTTTGCAGACTTTGCAAGCGTGGTACTTCCTAGTTTTGAACATGAGCTTGCCATATTTTTTTTTATGTCTAAATATATACAAGCGATGCTTATTCCTGACATGCTTTTCTAAGAGATGGAGTTTGCCAACAAACTTACACTTGTTACACCTGTATGTGGAGTAGTCACGAGGAACATCTGTGAACAGTTTCTTGGGGACAACAGTAGGTGTATGTTCTTGTTTAGTTTTAGTCAAGTGCTTCTTGGGGTCGTCGGTAGATGCACCTTCTTTTTCTGTTTTTGTCAACCGTTTCTTAGGGTTGTCAGTATATTCATTGTCTTCTTCCGTTTTTTTCAACTTGGATATGTCAGTAGTTTCATGTTGATTCTCTGCATTTTGTAAATGTATTTCAGGAATAACAGTAGACACATGTTCATCATCTGTTTTAGTCAAAAATGTCTTTAAATAAATAAAAATATGCATTTTATGACTGTCAAGCAAATGTTGGCTCAAATCCCTGTACTCGTAAGAAATATCCTCCTTGCATACTTTGCAAATATGTCGAACTGATTCAAACATACAATCTCCAAACATCAATTGTGAATATTTTTTTTTATGCTTGCTTGTCAGGTGACTAGAAAAAGAAGATTTATTTAGATTACAAATTTCACAAAAAGGACACTTATAGGTGCAGTAGTCGTAAGGTTTGTCGGAATACCTTATTTTGGAACACTTTTTCTGTTCAGTATAAGGAACTATGGATTTACCTACTGGTCTAGAAGAATTATCAAGTTGGTTGATTTTAGTCGGTTCCGATTCAACAGCGGCTTTGTTTATTTCAAGATAATTTTCAACAGTTAGTCCATTATCACAATTATTACCAAGAATGGTTTCATCTTTGGCTTCATCACTTTCTGTGTCAACCTTAACTTCTTGGACTTCCTTTAGTTCATCTGTCAGGTATTGGTCAGAATATTGTTTTATTGTAAGTCCGTGTTTTCTTAAATGACACAGAAGTAAGTCTTCTGCAAAAACGAAGTCCTTTCCACAAATTTTGCATTTGTGCATCACTTTGTCAGCAAACATATCATCAGAATATTTTTTCTTGCATACAGAGAATTTCATTTCATGGTCCTTCACCAAATGTTGTAGGAACTTCCTATATTCAAAGGACAGTTTACAGATTGGGCACTTGTATATTGAATAGTTACCAAGAGTATCTGAATATTTAAACTTATCACATTTTAGATCATTTGAATCCTCTTCAGATTCAGATCTTACACAAGATTGATCATGCTGGTTTGAATTTTCAATGATCAAATCCTCACTAGAGAAAGATTTTCTAGAATCTTTGCTCGACATTCCAGATGAATCATTGTTACTAGCTCTAGTTCCCTCTGAATCTGCTCTTTTTAAGTATGAGCTATTATAATGCGATAGAGTCATGTTATGAGATTTAAGATGTGTGAAAACGGAATCCCAGGTGTAAACAAGGCTTTTATGACACACTAAGCAAGAATGATTTACTAACTCATCAAATATGAGTTCGCCATACTTTCTTCTATACTCTGATACAGATAACTTGTGCTTATTAGCAATATGTTTGAGAAAACGACGGTATTGGCCAGAAAATGTACATATTTGACATTGGTATGTTGAGAAATCATTGACTACATCAGAGTAACGCATTACTCTACACTTCTCTTTCATTTCATTTGAATTCATATAATCCATAGTTTTCCTTCTTTTATTTTCAACTTCTTCATTATCAATCTTCCGTTTCTTTGATATTCCAGGACTCTCAAGCAACTTGTTTTTTTGGGATGCAAGGCTCTTGGCCAGTATTCGAACTGACGAGGATACAACATTGCTTGAAAAGCTTTGATTGATTGATGGGGATTCAGCAGGTAAGGTTCTATCATGTTCATCATGATCAACATTTTTATCATCATTAGATCGTTTAAGCAGTTCCTCCTCATACGTTCTAAACATTAAAAATTTCTTATTTAAAATCCACTAACTTAAATTTATAAAAATCTCTTCTGACATCAATTTTTTTGAGTAAATGGTCATAAGCAGTGCTTTGGGCTTACAGGAACAATGACCCACATCCCTACATAACTATTTGACTTATTTATACCGTTACAATTTTTTATAAAAAAAATAGTCTTTTTTACCTGATATCTGTGTTGTGAGATTTTAAATGTTCTCTCAGAAAAATCTTTGTAAACACCAAAACATTCTGACAGATGTAACATTGATGGTAGATCTTCTAAAAATAAAAATTCTTAAAAGTAATTCTTATGGGCAACTAAATTAAAGTTAATCATGCTTTAACTCTTTTTACTTTTTTCACTTTACAGATTACTAAATAATTACCTTAGTGATATTGACAGTTCCGTAATTTTTTTCATACACTTTCAGACTGGTGTTATGGGTGGTTTTCAGATGAAACTCCAAAATATCATGATTAAGCTCTACTTACAAGGTCAATTTTATATATTTTAGAAAATCAATGCTATTATATCATTTGGGTGTCAGGAAAAACTCAGGAAAGACAAACTCCTGAAATAGCAATCTCTGTAATGATTAAACAATGAAAAAAATTTAAAAGAATGTATTTATATTTTACAACTATTCTAGGTTAAATGGGGCCGTCTGAGGTTGCTGCAGGCTGCAAGGGGGCCAAGTGCTGCAGCTATGGAGTCGAGCTCAGAGTTAAGATAGGTCAAGTGCTCTAGCTAAAATATGCTCGAGTTCTGAGTTTCCAGGAGAAAAAAATTCTGAAGTTTGTCTTTTCAGGAGTTTGTACTTTGGGGAGTTTGTTATTTCCGAAGTTTGTCAAGGCAGCCATCCTTTAACTTAATATAAACTATTAAACATTCAGCTTTTAGTTCGAAATTGACTATGTTCCTAATTTACAAATCAGACACACTGTTCTTGACATATTTTTGAAGTCATTACTATATTTCAGGGCTCCATTTTTTATCTGTTTGTTGGTGTTACTGGAAGTTATGTTTGTAACAATGATTTTTTCAGTGTTCTTTGGTCTCGTTTGGTTCAACTTTCCTCCATTAGTTCTTGTTTTGGGAAAACTATTCTCAACCTCAATTTGACCGTCTTCAGATTCCTTTTCATTTTCCGAGTTTGTGATTGAGGGTTCACTTGACTCTGAGCTATCAACTATTGCCCTTTGACTGCTCTTCCTGGTCCTTAGCTTAGTCCTCATAGGGGAATCGGTGTCTCCTCCAGCCAAGACTGAACTAGGAATGTTCAGAGTTTCCAAATCAACCGAAGATTTTCTTGATGATGACTCGCTGGTTGACAAAAAGATTTGTTTGGAAGGTTTCAGTTTCTTTACAAATACACAAGCTCTTCTTAGTTTACGGTCATCCTCTTCTGAAGATTTTCTTGAGGAGTCACTAGATGGATCATATAGATGCCTATTTCTTGATCTACGAGGGGTTGTAGAGTTTAAAGATTTAAGTTGTTGATCACTTGAGTCCGTCCCTTTCCCAACCTTTTTCATACCGACAAGATTTTTCTTCAGCTCATTTTCTTTATTTGAATCATCTTGAGGGGAAACAGGTTCTTTAGAAGCATCTTTACTGGACATAGTCTTCTCTGTTACTTCGATTGTGCATGAACCATCATCTTTATTTTCTGGATCAAGCTCTGATGTGTTTTTTTGGACCAATTCACCTGATAAAAAACTGATAACAATTGAAAAAAAAATTCATTACCTTAAAATTATATACTTACGCAGTTGTTTATCAGGAAGAGTTTTGTGTTTAAGGAAGAAGGCTAGGTTAAACAACAAATCTCTAAAATAAATAAAATTGTAGTTCTGGAAGAAAATATTTATCATTTCTTCAGGTGTGGTTGACTTGATGCCACTTAGGGGCAGTTATTTTCACATTAGGGTTTTTGCAAATCACCATGAGCGCTAATTATTCCAGCAGAGGGATACTGATTACCACTTAGAGGACTTCCAGCGGATAAATAATAAATAGAAACAACTCAGAACCCTAATAACTCCAATGGAGGGATACTAATTACCACTTATGACGCTAAATACTCCAGCAGATGAATGCTAGAAACAATTCAAGAACACTAATCACTCCAGCAGAGGGATACTAATTACCTCTTAGAACACTAATTACTTTATAGGAAAAATGCTATAAACAACTTAGAACACTGATTAATCCAGAGCGGCGGAGGGATACTAATTACAACTTTAGACACTAATAACACCAACAGATGAATGCTAGAAACAACTCAGAACACTAATCACTCCAGTGAAGGGATAATAACTACCTCTTAGAACACTAATTACTCCAGAGGATGAATGCCAGAATCGACTCAGAACATAATCGCTCCAGCAGAGGGATACTTATTATCCCTCAGAAAACGAATTTCTCCAGCGGATGAATACTAGAAATAACTCAGAACACTAATAACTCCATTGTAGGGATACTAATTAGTAATTACCTCTGAGAACACTAATTACTCCAGCGGAGGGATACTAAGTACCCCTTAGGACACTAATTACTACACCAGAGGGATACTAAAAACAACATAGAACACTAATTACTTCAGCGGATAAATACTAGGAACAACTCAGAACACTAATAACTCCATTGTAGGGATACTAATTAGTAATTACCTCTGAGAACACTAATTACTCCAGCGGAGGGATACTAAGTACCCCTTAGGACACTAATTACTACACCAGAGGGATACTAAAAACAACATAGAACACTAATTACTTCAGCGGATAAATACTAGGAACAACTCAGAACACTAATAACTCCATTGTAGGGATACTAATTAGTAATTACCTCTGAGAACACTAATTACTCCAGCGGAGGGATACTAAGTACCCCTTAGGACACTAATTACTACACCGGAGGGATACTAAAAACAACATAGAACACTAATTACTTCAGCGGATAAATACTAGGAACAACTCAGAACACTAATAACTCCATTGTAGGGATACTAATTAGTAATTACCTCTGAGAACACTAATTACTCCAGCGGAGGGATACTAAGTACCCCTTAGGACACTAATTACTACACCGGAGGGATACTAAAAACAACATAGAACACTAATTACTCCAGCGGATGAATACTAGGAACAACTCAGAACGCTTATCACTCCATTGTAGGGATACTAATTAGTAATTACCTCTGAGAACACTAATTACTCCAGCGGAGGGATACTAAGTACCACTTAGAACAATAATTACTACACAGGAGGGATACTATAACAACAGACACTTGTAGGTCAGTGGCACACCAATTATTTTGAAATAATTTTTACAAATTTCTAAGCTTTAAATTCCTCCTAAAAATAATTAATTTTTTTTACATTAGTCAATGTTCATTTGCAGTTACAGTTAGCAGATGTGCTTTTGCTTTTGAATTTTAAAAGTCTATAAAATAAAATAAATTTTTTTGAAGAGTGTTTAGTTTCTAAACTGGTCATTAACAAAAACGTGAACTCAATTGGTTCGTCGACGTTCCTTGAAAACAGACAAGATTAATATTGAGTGAAGCTTACTTTCCCGCCAGACAATTGTGCGCCTGCGCCAGATGATCCAAATACTGGTCACACACATTCTCTCCTCCACTGCCTTCTACTGGGGCCCGACACAGCAGACAACTAAGGACATCTGCCGGGGTTTCTTTGAACTGACGTTTAATCTTTACATCGATAGACAGCACTGAATTGTCTTCACAAATTCTTAAAACTTCCATTTTACTTCGGCATTATCTGAAATTCATTACATCCTTTATCCATAATATTTCTTATTTCAAGCTCACAAAAAAAGTAAGAACTAACCATATATACTAACTATATTACATAATCAACTAACCATATATACTAACGACCAAGTCTTTAAATTCTTGAAAGTTAAAACAAAATATTAGCTGGCTTAGGAAGTGCATAAAATCCACAACAATATCAAGCACTGTAATTTTGGAAAACTCATTTTAATATCTAAGCAGATATTCTAATCTCTTTTAGAAATGAAACAAACTTAATATAGCTTAGTCGTGTTCATTAAAAAACTTAAATTTGACGAAACTAATTAAAACCGTATGATTCTCCCAAAATGAAAATATTCCAAGATATTGCACATATAAATATTTGATTTCACAGCTAAATTAAATACTTATATTTTTATCACATCTATCACAACTAGTCGTATGGACGATTTTAACTGAATAAATATGATAATTTAATAATTCTAAGCAATTTGTGGCATGCATGGAAAAAATGGAATCAAATGGCAACTGAGTGGAATGCATTGAAGTCTAAAATCATGTAGATATTAAACAAGTTGAATGGCTTCACAACTAATTATAGTTGTAATTAATGGCAAAAAAGGAGATCTTTTAAGGTGACGAATCATGCAGAAACTCCCTCTACGCCTGCTTTTCCTGCTTGTACACCTTCTCCTTCAGGTTTCCAATCTGCTCTTTCACCTTTCCAAGAAGTTCGTCGATCAGAGTCTAAAGATTATGATATTGTCAATGTCGTCTTTCTCGTCAAGGATGAAATCCACCAAGATAATAAATATTCTCAAACTAGTGAATTTTAATATGCAAGAGTACAATACAAAATAACTTTTCCTTCTCGCATAGAAGCTTTCAAACCTTATTTATTTCGACCAGGCTGATAAGTAACCCTAATTTTTGTTACATTAAATTTTGTTTTCTATTAAAGTAAAAACAATATAAAAACATAAAATGCAAAAAATGGTGTCATAATTTAAAATACAAGTTCAGAATTTTTAAAGTACGATCATAAATCATCATTATCATTGCTCATCTTTTTTAGTAAATGTGAATGAATGTATAATAATCAATTTAAAATTATGAATTAGGCTTTTATTTTAAAGGGAAAAAACTAAAACATTCAAAGATTTTTTGATAAAAGTTTCAATTTCTATTAAAAAATTTATGTTCAAGTAGGATTATCCCTGAGCGGGAGAACATTAAACTATAAAGCTGATGTTGAAAAATAAATTCCCTTCCCTTTAGTATTCTTTTTTCATCATTTTCATAATTTTTTAAATATTTTGTTTTCAGCTATGCATTAGATCTAGCTTCATGAGACGGTCCATTTGATTCATTTTCCGGGCTATTTTATTTAGTCTATTTGTTTATATTTTATTCAACATAATTTATTTGGTCTATAAACAAATCATTCGATTAGAAAAAAGAATCGTTTTTATTTCTGTGCACGATTCAATTTGTTTGTTTATTTTTCTGAACATCACAAAAAAATTCGTTTGTTAAGAAATGATGCCATCGCAAAATATTTTTTTCTTTAAATTTAATTGGATTCGAATTTCTTGGAAAATTTTGGATATTTGACATTATAAGGGCTGACATATGTACACATCCTAAATATACTCCCCACAGTCCACACCCCTGGCGTCATACCTGGTGGTTCAAGTACAGCTTGGGAAGAAGGAACGCCATGACCCAGGCTAGCAGAACAAGGGTCAACGCATTGAACCAGGAACCTAGATAACAAAACTGTTAGAAAAATACCCGCAATGAATAAATTGAAATTCAAACCAGTGCTTAAGATCCGGATCCATTGGATCTTTTAGTTCTTGCATCAGAATTGCGAAAATATCAAAATCAACCGAAACAAAACATATAAGTGGCAGCTTAATGAGATATGAAAGATATCAAAACTTTACTTGAATACCTTCCTAATCATTAAATGACAATTGAAGTTGACGAAAAAAGGAAGAAATTTTGGATATTAATGTTTCATAAAGAAATAAAACAAGAAATACTTTAAGAAATATTCACAAGCATTGAGCAATAAAATTTGTTATTTTATCTTATTAATCTAAAACTTTAAGACATTTAAAATGCTTTATACTAATGAAATAATTTTTTAAGTTTAAAAGATACAAATGGTTGAAATACAGTGGGAACCATAAAATTGTGGAATAGGAAGACGACATTTCAGCATTTCTAAATTTATATCAAGCAAATTGCTTGACCAACAGCATGAACATCAACTTACTTGTGTAAACTGCATAGTTGCTGTTCTTAAAGTTCATAGAATATTTGATATCAAACTTGAGCCTATCAGTGTCTTCCTTTAATTGTAAAGGGCCAAACTGTAGATTAAATAAACCTAAAATTATTTTTACCGATATAAGTAAGGGTATAGCAGAGGGTTCCAAACTTCACTGTTTCAAGAATATCCTAGAAATATTAAAACTCAAATCAAATCTTTCCTACTTCCGTCCCTCACTAAATAAGTAAGTTATAACTTAAAACTGGTTTAAGAACACGAATACAGTTTATTCGATTTTGGGTACTTGCTTTTAGCTTCGAACATCAATAAAATGTTAAACTAAAACAATTTGTATAGTCGTCTGACTGATGACATAATTTTAAATAATATTTCTTTTAAGAATTGCATATTTGATTCTCAAAGGTGGTCTTTATCAGATTAACAAATTAACAATGGGAAAATTACTTTATTTTTTCAAGTTTTTAGATGTAAATTCTCTTCAATTCTCTTTCTAGTTTGTGCACTATAAATCCATAAGTTACTTTATCAGATAAAAAAACAAGAAAACCTCAATCACTTTTGTTGAGACAAAGAATTAAAGATACCAATGTAAATCAGGCATGCAACTTTTGAAATTTTAATTAAAGTTTACTGTAGATAACGTTAACAGTCCCTTAAAAATATTTGTAACAAGTTGACTTTTCCCTGACAAAAGAACAAGGCTTTAGATTTTTGTGTATTTATATAAAGAGTTTTTAAATTCAATGAGATAAAATTATGAGAAAATCTTTGTAATGTGTTAGGCGGTTATATCAACATAATGAAGACATGAAGACGACTTTCAATTTAAATTTTGATTTATAAAAACAACATTAATACATAACACAAGGAAACAAAGAGAAGCTGTCGATAAAAAAAACTTCTTCTGATTACTTGTAAACTTGTAATTCAAAAAAAGCTTGTAAACAATCAAAACTTAAATAAAAAGTTTAGCTACTGATAATGGAACTGTTTTGCATCCTTTTATTGACTGTTCTAACATTCATACTTCAGTTCTAACTGGTGAGCTATCCCTTTTTATTTTAACATAATGATAATAACGCAAAAATAACGTATTTTTTATTTGAAGTAATTTTCTATTTAAAAAGAAATTAGCAGATTCCATCTGCAATATTACAAAGAACAAACCTGATTAGTATACATGTGATTAATATATCGGATCACATAATATTCTGTTTAAACTTGCAATACATTGTATACATTTTTAATTATTTATGTCTGTAAATTTCAACGTAAAAAACCATTTTTCTTTGAACTGCGTTATAAATGAATAAGTAGCATGGTATAGCTTAAACCCTTTTTAATACGTAATTTCAACTTGTAAACATGTATGGAGATAGCTTAACTATAAAGTTGTATCTATCCTCGCTAATCCTATAAATATACACACTGTAGAAGCCTGACTTTTAGTTATAAGAAAATATGATTTTGCCCTACATGTTAAAATTGGAATTGAGTTTGCATAAATGCGCAAACAGTTTCACTGATATTTCGCAAACTTATTTAGATGTAAATTCTCTTCAATTCTCTTTCTAGTTTGTGCACTATAAATCCATAAGTTACTTTATCAGATAAAAAAACAAGAAAACCTCAATCATCTTTGTTGAGACAAAGATTTAAAGATACCAATGTAAATCAGGCATGCAACTTTTAAAATTAAAATTTACTGTAGATAACGTTAACAGTCCCTTGAAATCTGGCTGATTACCTCTACGAGGATGATGTTCTTGAGCTTGTGTACTGCAGAGTTGGAGGTGTTCACCAGCATCTTCACCCCTTGTCCAACCGTCTCATCAGTGATCTTTATATCTACCTAAACAAATCCCATTCCAATTCTAATCCCAATTCCAATCCCAATCCCAATTCCAATCCCAATTCCAAATCAAATCAAACCAAACCAAACCAAACCAAACCATGAAGTTTAGGGATCGCTCCAGTAAACAGCCGTAAGGTTTAAGTCGCGAATGTTTTGTGGTTTTTCAGCCTGGATCTGATTTTAATTGTGTAATTTTGTGAGAAATCACTCAACTAGTTGTTTCCATGGCGAACGTTATTATCCCAGTAACGACCAACTTTAAGCCGTTTAACCATTTCTAGATAACTTTCATTCAGTGAGGCCCAACTTTATGGTAAATATTATTTGGTGTTAAAATATATCCCAGGAGAATTTCAACGAGAACATTGCAATGACAGTTGCTTTATCAATAATTATATATGTAGAGTTCTTATGAGAATAAGTTAAATTTATATTCAGGGCTTAATGTTTTAGATATAGTTTTAACCATGATAAGAAAACAAGCAATAATGGGTAAATATTATCCAAGAATTTGGTAAAAGAATGAAAATTCGAAGCTGTTAAGTTTGAATGATACTTTTAACCAAAATTCAGCAACCTGCGACGCATAGGTTTAACTAAGCCCAAGGAATTGTCTGCTTATATGAATCTATCCAGCAGACCTAGCTGGTTCTCAAATTTTATGAGGAATGGAGCAACTTTATTGATTTATCTTAATTCAGTGAAAACAACTAGTTTTTTGATATTTTTTTTCTTTCACACTGGGAAAAAGAATTTTAATATTCTTTACTCAAAAACCGTAAAATTGTGAAAAAAATATATAAAAAAATAAATAAAAATAAAAACCATAATTATACCTGAAGGAGGGACTCCAGTGGGTTTCCCAACGGATTTGGTTTGCCAAGTTTAACCATTACAACATTGAACACTAACCAACAATATCATTCTTAGCGTTTACTTAATACAAGCACCGCCATTTTTAAAAGTAACCAATTCAAAATAGTTTTCTTTTAAATATGATTTATGAAGCCTGAGACTGAATTTAAAGAATTTGAGCCGCAGCTTAAATTTAAATCGGGGCATAGTTGGTTCCACTTAAAATTGTATTAAATTTTTCAAGATTTAAGCTGGCGCTCAATTGAAACCGGTTTTTGGGAGATTTGAGACGCGGCTTAAATTCATTAAATTCGGACACTGAAGAGGATGACTGAAAATTTCCAAATCAAAAAATATGATATAAATATAAAAAAAAGTTGATAAAAGGCGAAATATTTATATAAATAAATAAATGAGTGAATAAAGAATTGAGTGAGGACCGAGGATGTAAGAATGGCGATTGACTGCCTAAATGACTACATGATTGCATGACCAAAAGCATGTAACTAAAGTCCTCTATAAAACATAACGCGTAGAATATAAAAGACGACTACATGAATAGATAAATTAAATGGGTAAATGAAATAAATAAATTTAATAAATTAATGCTATTGTATTCCTCTAAGAAGAATAACAGCTAGGATGAGCAGTAAGCAACTCCAAGCAACAACAGATACTAGAGACCTTCAAATATTTATAGATATAAGAGCTTATATGATGTGTAGGGGTCCCACCCCCCTATGTCGAATTTTGTTACATGTCTACATTATTCACTTAGGAACATGGTTGTCTGGAGTTGAAGACGTAGTTTTAAGTTACCCTCCATTTTTAGAGCATACACCTATACACCTGTATCTGAGTAAAAATTAAGGAAGATAACGTCGTTTTTCTGTCATATTAATTTTTAATTCTGACAATTCCATCAGGTCTCCGCTGCATGAATTTGCGGGATACTTTTTAAGAGCACCAAACATTAAAATTAGCAATATTCTGCTCGAAAAACATGACTTCGTCATCCTTGTACTGAGGAGACCGTTGTCAGATTAGGGTCACTTGAAATGACTTCTACAGTCCCTTTAATCATAAGATATGAACTAGAAAATTACCAGATGGAAAGAGAAACTAGAACCAATGATACCGGAACAAACACACTTCCGGTCTTGACCGGATCCTCCCACTGGAGCAGTTTCATCAGAGGACAGCTACTTCCGGTCTCGGAGATTTCAACGGACATTTTTCTGTAATTAGGTTTCCCTGAGTTATTTAACAAGAATAGACTCTAAATCAATAATAAGTTAATTAATTAACAATATAAATAGTATAAGGCACAGTGCACAGTATTAAGAGTACAACGAAATTTTAAGTAACCTTTGTAGAGTGCAATTTTAATCATTAGAAAGGTAGACAAAGATTTTGCAGGAATGCATCTCTTCTTCCATAAAGCGTTAAAAGGGTACAGTAGAGATTTTTAAACTGCGATTTTTAATTAAAGGGTATATTAAAATTTTGAACACAATTCCGTTAATTAACACATTTTATAATCATGCATATGACAATATTCTTTTTTTATATAAGAAAAAGGAGTTTGTTCTAAACATTTCTGAATCATTGATATTATTCAATGTTAATGAGTAAAACTTTGATAAAAACAGTAATCAAAAGTCTTGTTTTTTTTTCGCTAGGAACACAAGCCTTCAAACAAAGATATTACTCCTGATGTAAAATTGAGCATTTTTAACAATATACTAACAAATATAACAATACTATTTAAGACAAGCCAGAAGGATAATTATCTAAATGCTTTTCTAAAAGGGCAAAAATTTACTTTTAAAATAAAATCAAATGGTTTGCTTAAATTGAAATAATTTGTTTACATTCTAATAGTTTGTTTACATTCTAATAGTTTGTTTACATTAAAATGATTTGTTTATATTCTAATAGTTTGTTTATATTCTAATAGTTTGTTTACATTCTAATAGTTTGTTAACATTATTCGATGGTTTGTTTACATTCTAATAGTTTGTTTATATTATTCGATGGTTTGTTTACATTCTAGTAGTTTGTTGTTTACATTCTAATTGCTGCTCTAGACTGCCCTCTACTATCTCTCAATGGCGTATGGTGCAACATACCAAGCTACAAAAGTATTCAATGTAAATCTAAATCAAATATCTATCTATCTAGAATAATCGAAAAACAAGTTAGGTTTTTGATCATTGTGCTCTTAAATAACTTATTACTATTAAAAAACAGCAAGAAGAAGTTTAAATTTTCTTAGTTAGAATAAACACGATGAGCTCAGGAATATAGTGAGGGATCTATAACACATGTCGGGAATGATAACACTTGTACAGTGTGTCCCACATCATATTAGATCGTCAATCGGTCTAAATTACGATTTTCGGGACTAATCAGAAAATTTAAGAAGAATGAATCATTTTGAAAAATTTAATAAGGCTAATAAAAGAATTTTCTTGCGGAAAATACTAGTTTTTTTTTCGAGTATTATGGTTTTATTTTTGCGTTAAAGCTTGGAGATAATCTTATATGATATTGGACGCTCTGTATAATTCTCACCTGAACTGCTCTAGATAGAACCTCTCTTGTCTCACCAGGAGCAATAATTCCATCACAAAGAGTTCTAATAAAAAGAGTCAAAGAGTAATAAGTAATAAGTTATAAGTTCTAAAGCTAAGAGTTTAGCAAAAAGCGCCTAAACATGATATTCTGTAAACTGTACGCTGTACGTCATAAATGATTTAATGTTTTAAACTTAGACATCATGAGATTATTCATTGAAACTGCGTTTCAATTGAATACTTAAAGGTAGTGTTTGCGAAAAATGAAAGGGGGTATAGGCTTGCGATAAAAAAGCGCTTTTGATCGTTACTAATCTTACTGAACTATCTGTTGCGTCTATAAGGAGAAAATTGTTAAAAACGACTCACACCGAAGAACGTAGTGTCCATACAAATTCAGAAAGATCCAACATTCAAATCGGATCGTGAACAAATCAATTTAATTCCAAACAAATCATTCAGATATTACAAACACTAGTCATCGATCATTCTTCGACGCATTCGTATATAGTAAATATTTCATAATAATTTTCGCTGGCGCTGGATTTTCGAACATTCCTGGGAAATATGAAAATGTCGTCTTCATTATCAAAAATCCTCGAAACAAGAATAACTTTTGTTTACAAAAGTAACTCTTAGACTATGAAAAATACAAAATATTAATAAATATGAACTATAGATTAGTTGCGTTATATCGATTCTCTTCAATCCTTTAAATATGTACCTTAAATTTTAACTGTGCGATAATTACGAAATACAATGGTGTGATATCAATAACATCGTATGAATTGAATTACGTTAATTCCTGTTAACTTTGTATCCTTTGGTATTGAATAAAGTTAGTTGATTGAGACTCGGCTTTTGATTACGTTATCAGAAGCATAGTAAGCTTGAAAAGCGTTGGATCTTGTTGAAACATACTAGCGGAGATCTAGTTGATTTAGCATTGAATTGAATATAGCTTGAAATATAGCTTGGGTTCTCGTTACAACATACGAGCGTAGATCTTGTCTAGAATATTGGCAATTAAATCGAATATAGCTTGAAAGATAGCTTGGGTCCTCGTTGAATTATTCGAGTTGAGATACGGCTTATGTACAAGCCTGAGAGTTAGTCCTATATTATTGGATGCTTGTATCCCTGTGTGGCATTTAGAGCCGGTCCTGGTTGAATATAGAGTCTGAGGGTTAGTCCTATGTTATTGGACACTTGTGTCCCTGTGTGGCATTTAGAGCCAATCATGTTTGATTGACCTGGAAAGATACGTCTCGAGAAAATTGGTATAGAGTAGGTTTTTGCTACAAGAGCTTTAAACAAGAGTTCTATAAAGCATAAGCTCTTAAGCAAAAAGATCAAATCAAAGAGTTCTAAGACTAAGAGTTATAAAAAAGAGTTCTGAAATAAAAAGTTCTAAAACGAGTTCTAAAACTAAGAGTTCAAAAACAAAGAATTCTAAACAAAGAATTCTAAAACAATGAGTTCGAAAACAAAGAGTTCTAAACCTAAGATTTCTAAAACAAAGAGTTCTAAAACAAGGAGTTCTAAAACAAAAATTTCTAAAACAAGAAGTTCTAAAACAAAGAGTTCTAAAACAAAGAGTTCTAAAACAAAGAGTTCTAAAACAAAGAGTTCTAAAACAAAGAGTTCTTAAACAAAGAGTTCTAAAACAAAGAGTTCTAAAACAAGGAGTTCTAAAATAAGAAGTTCTAAAACAAAGAGGTCTAAAACAAAGAGTTTTAAGGTACAGACACACATACATGACGTTTCCGCCCCCTGTATAAAACTCTAATCCCCTTAAAAGTAAAATAAAAGCTACCTGGCAGCTGCCCAGGCTGCACTGCTACTCTCAAACTTGTATTCACTCAGCTGCTTCCTTGGCTTAGAAGAGGCAGCTTCGGGCTCATCAGATAGAACAGCAGGGTCAGATTTAAGCAGCCTGACATGGAGTTATGAAAAAGTGAGAAACTAAAGTAAGACCCATAACTTTGAAGGAAGAAGACTGTTAAGACTCAATTTATATTTTTTATTAGTCCAATGAGCAAAAATCACCGCAACAGTGCAGTGAACTTCTTGAAAAAATGCAGTTTATATTAATGATAACTGCGATTGCCCTGATAATTAATACTGAATGAATCTAAAACAAATTAAATCATTTAAAAAAAATCAATAACTTAATTTGTTAAAAAAATAAAAAAAAATAACGTACCTTGCTCCTGGCCACATAAAGTAAAATCTAATCAGATTTAATTCATTAATATTTTAGATGTGTATCTGGAGACTTTAATATTCAAAACTTTTTTGATTCGAGAATTGTTAAGGAAAAAATGGACACTTTAACTGACTCTATTTAAGCGAAAAATATAAATATGAAAAACAAATTTCAGATAAAACTATCGAATTAAAAATAAGAACACTAGAATCGTTTTTGAAGTAGAAATAGAAAATACAGAAACTTTTGTATGAGCTGGGTCCAGAATCCGAAACCGGATCCAAAAGCAATTTTTGATTAGAATAAGGACTAGCTTCAACGACTGAATTCGATATCCTTTCCCCACTCCAATGTGGACTTAATATGTATACTTTGCTTTTCACTTGTCAGTCTGTCACTTTGTTTGTATCCATAGTCAAAATTTTGTGGCATCCACATTCCACATGACTCCAGGAAAAAATATAAAAAAAATTTCACAGAAATAAATGGCGACCTTTTTTCTTATCTTTGAAACTTCTTAAATTTAAAGAAAAAAACTGCGAAACTTTTTTTTGAAGAACGATTAAAAACTGTTGACTTGAATTAACTAACTAAAATTGTTAATATATGGGGGGCGAAGCGAAGTGACCTGAAAGCCTTGTTAAAAATAAAAGTGGTACACATGCATTCTATTTTGATCTGAATTTAAAATTTTGTGTTTTTATCATTGGACTTTGATGATCCAGAATACAGCGTTGTTAAAAATAATTAAAGAAAAACATATTCATTTGGTTCGGAAAATGAAGAGTCAAAACATGTTTTTAAAAAAGAGCAAATCTATCAGTTTTTTAAAAACTTTGAAAACAAAATATTTATAACTGTTAAAAAATCATAATAACATAATTTTAAACGATGGACAAAAATAACCTGACTTTTAAGTCTAGGGTGTAGTTGAGAGACGACGAAAGATATTTTAAGAATTTAATTTAGATTTTAATTTATTAAATAAAACTATGAAATTGTATAATTCTAAACGAAATTCATTTTGATACTAAAAAAAATGGCTGACCACATTTTGGAAGTGTCAGAACTACGGATGTTTTGTGATAATTGTTTAAGAAAAATATAGGTCTACGGACAAAGACGACTTTCAAGTCTAAAAACAACAGCACTGTATAAAAAAAAAATTGAAAAAAAATTGAAAAAGAAATTGTATGTTAAAAAAAAAACTGAAATCGGAGAAAAATTCTTTATATCTCTGGTATTTTTAAAACATAGAAATGGTGGATTACATTTTCGAACTCCCAGGTTGCCAGTACTATGGATAGGGTATTTGATAACTATTGTTTTGAGAATCCTACTTGTAAAGTTTGCTTAGCAAATATCAAAGTTCAAAGACGATATTTAAGTTGTCTCCCAACTGTGAAGTTTAATGGGACACCCTGTATGTAAAAAGCCTGAACTACCATTTTAAAATTAGGTATAACAAAGACGGATCGGGCGGTTTAAACCGAAACAACTTATCCGTTTATAATGAATAAATTCCTAGGATCAAATGAAGGTCCACACATTGTATAATTCTCATCAGAGATGGCGCCACCAACATTTAAAGTGACTTTAGGCACACGGACTAAACAAAATAAACTGGCGTTAAGTACTTTCACAAAAGCTTTTTTCCAAGGGCAACTTCCCAAGTAACAATTTCCCATTGAGCCGTAGGCTACAATAGGGGCTGAGCACTGTGGCTAAAACAGGATAGGGACAGAGAACTGCAACTAGAATAGACTTCAGAAGTCGCCTCTTAGGCAATTGCACATTTGGGAAGTTGCCACGTTGAAAAATACCCTCGGAAAAGTGACTTACACTTACAAAATATATTCAACCCGACACATTTTTTATGTAAGAATAAAAAGTCAATAACCCAAAATATAGTTCAAGAGGGGAGCGGTTGGTGAAGGAAGTGCTGGTTAAGAGCACTACAGTCTATTAGAGTTGGATTCTGAAGGAAAGAGATGAATTTGCCTATGAAGAAGAGGTTTGCTGTCCCACAAATGAAGGGGAGGTCGTAAGTTCCCTTAAGTCAGATAGAGCTCCTGTTGTGGATAACATCTCGTCAACGATGTTGAAGGGGATCTATGATAACACTGATACAAACGTCATAAATGAATCCCTAGCAGAGGGATGTGTGCCAGGTTAACTCCGGGTTTGGAAGATGACCCTATTCGAAAAAAAGGAGTCATCTCTTGACGTCACCAAAAAACGTCCGATAACTGTTTCAAGTGTTCTCTTGAGTATAACAAATAAAATCGTACACAAACGCATGAACAAGATATGATGAAAAGGTTAAGTTTTTATGGCCCAGTTCAGTATGGGTTCAGACAGACAAGGACCACGACAGATTGTGTATTAAGGATCTTGTCCGCTCAAAGGTCAGCCAAGAGAAAAAAAACACTGCATCTCCTTGGCGTTCTTTGATGTTGCATAAGCTTATGATACGGTTTGCAGGGAGCTGCTGTACACAAAGCTACACCGCATTGGGTTTGGTGGACGGGTGGTGGCCCTGATCCGGTCAATTTATTTCAATGACTGTGTGTGGATCAATTTGTGCAAGGGGCTCTCGAATTCAGTTGACTTTAGGCAGGGTGTGAAGCAAGGGTGTAGCTTGTCACAAATATTATTTGGTTTGTATATTTCATCGCTAGGGGTATCGCTAGACAACACAAAAGTGGGGGTGCAGCTTGGCGAAATGATTCTTACAGCCTTGTTCTTGCTGATGATTTGCTGTACAGAAAAACCGATGGATGTAACCAAGAGAAGCTGCCCTTCATCTTGGTTTAGAAGTGGAAGAAATATCAGAAGAAGAATAAGTAACCTGACCTAATTTCTAGGGCTACAACAACAACAACAATCTGTTAAGAGTGCAGCAGGTTTGTGGCAGTTCGCCATTGAACTTGACCCATGCTTGGTGGTCCACAATTTGGTACAATGTGGCCAACCACAAATGACACTTCCTTTGAAGGTAGTTCGGTGACGTGGGCTCTTCCCTAATATCTCTTTAGATGCAACCAAAAGAAGCTGCTCTTTATCCAGGTTAAGAAGTGATTGAAATAACAGAAGAAGTGGCCTGACCTAATTTCTAGGGCTACAACAACAACAACAATCTGGTAAGTGTGCAGCAGGTTTGTGGCAGTTCGCCATTGAACTTGACCCATGCTTGGTGGTCCACACTTTGGTCCAGTGTGGCCAGCCAACAATCCGCTAATTCCTTTGAAGGTAGTGCAGTGACGTTTCTTTGGATTGATGGGTGACTGTTTTTTATTCATACAAGAATAATAAGTCAAGAAACCAAAAGATAGTTTAATAGAAAATATTAATTTCTGCCCTGGATTATCAAATGCTAAATTACATAAGCATGTTAAGAGCAAATCGATCAAACAATAAAGCCCATGTAAAAATAAATTGTCTATACTATACACCCATTCCTCATTTTTTATCAACCAGCAGAGTTACTTAAAACTTTAAACCCTATATTATTATTATTAAGAACTAGCTCAATTTTTGAGAGGGTAAATAAGGAAAAATTATAAATTAGAAAAGAATTATCATGAAACCACTTAAACCATGAAGCCCAAGAATATAAAGAAAATTTAATGAAGTGAAACCCTAAAGCTTACTACTTGGGCTTCGTAATCTTTACCGATTCAGATCAGATCAGGTCAGATCAGATCAGATCAGATCAGAATTGATCAAATCTAAGATCGGAACTAATGTGTGAATTTTGTTAATCTGAAAGACTTGATCTCAATATACAATGTGGACACTTAAATATTTGAGGATCAATGCTTGATTCCTCAAATGAAATTATCCATCACAGGTTATCAAAGTGGAATTAAATTAACCCGTAGATTTTCATAAGATAGAAATCAATTTTTGATCGAGATATTCACAACATAACAAGTTCTAGCTCCTAATCAAATAAAATTCAGACTAGCAAAATTAAACAATTCAAATCAATTAAATTCAATGTTTTCTGATTTTTCTACATTTAGTTTAGTAAATCATCTGGGACAAACAGAGTTACTAAACATAGATCAGACTTTTAAGGCGACCTGTAACTAATAGCAAATAACTTTGGAAAATGACATACCTATGGATTGACACTGAATAAATTTAGCTCTCTCCTGAAGAAATAAAAACCATGATTTGTCATACAAAAAAGAAGAAAAGAAAGAAAGAAAGAAAGAAAAAAAGAAAGAAAGAAAGAAAGAAAGAAAGAAAGAAAAAAAAGAGGGTAAGAGGAAGAAGGAATTTCATACAAAGAAAGAAAGGGTTATCAAACATAGAAAAGGACAGAAGGAATGGAATACAAAATAAAAAAATGGGAAGAAGGGTTGTCATTTAAAGAAAGAAAGGCGAAAAAACATTGGCAGTTAAAGAATGAAAGATGGAAGAAGAACTGTCATACTAAGAAAGAAAGAAGGAGAAGGCTGATAGACAAAGAAAAAGAAAAGCAGAAGGATTGTCATACAAAGAAAGAAAGAAGGGGAAAGAAGGACTGATAGACAAAGAAAAATTAAGGCAGAAGGATTGTAATACTAAGAAAAAAATAAGGGGAAAGAAGGGCTGATAGACAAAGAAAGAGAAAGAAAGAAGGTTTGTCATAGAAAGAAAGAAAGAAGGGGAAAGAAGGGTTGATAGACAAAGAAAGAGAAAGAAAGAAGGATTGTCATAGAAAGAAAGAAAGAAAAAAAGAAGGGGAAAGAAGGGCAAATGGACAAAGAAAGAGAAAGAAAGAAGGATTGTCATAGAAAGAAAGAAAGAAAGAAGGGGAAAGAAGGGCTGATAGACAAAGAAAGAGAAAGAAAGAAGGATTGTCATAGAAAGAAAGAAAGGAAAAAAGGACTGATAGACAAAGAAAGAGAAAGAAAGAAGGATTGTCATACAAAGAAAGAAAGAAGGGGGAAGAAGGGTAAAAAAGGGGGGTTGTCATAAAAAGAAAAGGATGGAGGAATAAATTCAAAGATAAAAGGGAAAGAGCCATACAAGAAAAGGGATAGAAGAATAGCTCAATGCAGAATGAAAAATTTAAAGAGAAATTTAACTAAAATCAAAAATGGGTTATTTTGCATGGCGGGACCTGACATGAAAATTATAGTTTGAGAATTCATAGAGTGGTCTGCGATTATATCAATACAATGAAGATAACTAATATATTTAAGTTTTGATTTCTAACAAGATATTTTCAAATTAAAAGTTCAAAAGTAAACAAAGAGAAGCTGTTAATTAATTCTGTTTGAATTGCTTGGTAGAAATCAAAATTGAAATGGAAAGTCGTCTTCAATGTATTGATAAATACTACGGTAACTAAATAAATACTACGGTAACAAAATAAATACTACGGTAACTAAATAAATACTATGGTAACAAGATAAATACTACGGTAACTAGATAAATACTACGGTGACTAGATAAATACTACGGTAACTAGATAAATACTACGGTGACTAGATAAATACTACGGTAACAAGATAAATACTACGGTAACTAGATAAATACTACAGTGACTAGATAAATACTACGGTAACTAGATAAATACTACGGTGACTAGATAAATACTACGGTAACAAGATAAATACTACAGTAACTAGATAAAAAAGAAATATCTGTTTGAAGAATCTTAACTCCACAAGGAAAAAACGACCACAAGTCAAAGTTAATATTTTACTGGGAGAGAGAAAGAAGTTAAATTTATTGATGGTTGACTTTATTCCTTTAATGTTGAGGCATCTACACTTTCACTACTTGAATTTGAACTATTCTGAATAAAAACTAGAACAAAGGAATTCAGAAACCTTTATAATGGTTAACAAAAACATTTTTTCCTCAAAATTCTTTTAAAAGGCTTCGCTCCATAAGCAATTTTTTTAAAATATTTAATTTTAGGATAACTCTAGTACGGTGGTAGGCGGTTATATCAATACAATAAAGACGACTTTCGATTTTAATTTTGATTTATATCAAGCTTTTAGACTGCATAAATGCACAACAACATAAAACAAAGAGAAGCTGCCAATTAAAAAAGCTTCTCTTAAATTACTTGAAAATTCGAAAAAAGCTTTTAGAATGAAAACTTAAATAAAAAGTCGTTTTCATTATATTGATATTATCGCCTACCACCAGATAAAACTTAAATTTGTTATTTTATTTTATTCATGAAATGTCGAATTGACTTGCTGAGACAAAATAAAAGCCTTGTTAGAAATAAAAATGGTACACATGCATTATATTTTGATCTGAATTTAAAATTTTGTGTTTTTATCATTGGACTTTGATGATCCAGAATACAGCGTTGTTAAAAATAATTAAAGAAAAACATATTAAAACTTAAATTTGTTATTTTATTTTATTCATGAAATGTCGAATTGACTTGCTGAGACAAAATAAAATAAGATAAAATAAATAATAAATAAAATAAGATAAAATAAATAATAAATAATAAATAAAATTAGATAAAATTAGATAAAATTAGATAAAATTAGATAAAATTAGATAAAATAAAATAAAATAAAAAAATAAGATAAGATAAAAGAAAATAAAAATAAGATAAAACAAAATAAAATAAAGTCTCTAATCCTTTTTCCTAAAGGTATATCCCTGTTATCGCAGAGTTGAACAAAATGGCCACCTACAATAGTAAGCACTGATAATAATAATACTAAGGATTTCAATAAAAATAATAATAAATAAGATATATCTAAAAGAAACCCGACGAACGACAAAATGAAAGCTTTCTCAATTAGGTAAAAAAAACTCTTATTTCCGCTATTGGCTAAGAGAAGTAGTGTGGCTTCCAGGTTTTTAGACGGGAAGAGACATTAAAAGGAATTTCCTTTTTCTGGGTTTGGTTTGATTAAGATAGATAGATAGTTACTGATGTTGGTGTTCTGGAAAGGAAGAGGGGGGGGGGGTTACTTTCTTACCTTTCTGTGCGTCTGCTCCCGTAATATTCCCGGCATTTATAAGAACTCCAACCAGCTGTCCAGAAAGCCGGCCAAATCCACACACGAGGCTTTCTCCAAACATAGTTTTGAACTCAAGGAATCTACTTCCGTCAAGTAACCGACCTACAGAAATCAGTTTAGTAACCGACCTACAGAAATCAGTCTAGTAACCGACCTACAGTAATCAGTCAAGTAACTGACCTACAGAAATCAGTCTAGTAACCGACCTACAGTAATCAGTCAAGTAACCGACCTACAGAAATCAGTCTAGTAACCGACCTACAGTAATTAGTCTAGTAACCTACCAATTGTAATTAGTCTATTAATTGACCTACAGTCATCAGTCTAGTAACCTACCTACAGTAATTAGTCTATTATCTGACCTACAGTCATCAGTCTAGTAACCTACCTACAATAATTACTCTAGTAACCTACCTAGTAACTTACCTAGTGGCTATCCCACAGTAATCAGTCTAGTAACCTACCTACAATAATCAGTCTTGTAGCTGTCCTACGGTAATCAGTCTAGTAGCTGTCCTACAGTAATTAGTCTGGTAACCTACCTACAGGAATCAGTAACCTACCTAAAGTGATCAGTTTAGTAACCTACATACAGTAATACGTTTAGTAACTGACCTACATTTATCAATCTTGTAATTTTTTTTGCGTTATTCCAGTTACAACATTCAGCGTAAACAGTATACAATTTACAATGAGCAGCGTACAATGTTTTAATGTACAACTGAAAACTTGACAATGAATATTGGATACTTTTAAAAAGTTTATCTAGTAGCTTGAAAATCAACTATTCAAGTGAAGTGGGTCTGTGTGTATTGCACAATTAGTGTGCAACATATCTTAAGTATAAAAGTTCTTATTTCCTAGTTTTATAGAGCCCACCGCATAAGCGCGCAACTCTAGCAAAATTTACCTAAAAGCGCATAAACATCTGGTTTGAGCATCTGTGTTTGACCGGCAAGCTGTTCTAATCCAGTTGAATCATAGAGCGGAGGACAAGAAGAATCCAGCTCACTGCACAATACTCAAACTTAGGTTAGGGTTGTCTGTTAGATGGCTTTGATACAATAAACGTCTAAACTGCAAACCTTTGAAGCCCAAATGGTTTGCTGAACCTCATATATTCTTTTTATTGCCTTTAAAAAGTTTTTGACTTGATATTAGTTTAGAGAATTAAAAAAAATAAATTCAAACGAAAAATAATACATTCAATAATTACATTTTGATCATTATTTTAAAGATGGACAAAATATTTGAATATGTAAGTTTTTTTCCTTGTTAATTCAAGATTTAAAGAAGCGACAACGTCCCGTGTGATTTCAAAACTCTCCTCCTCATCCTGTAAAGTTTACCCTTTAAAGGGACTGTAAGCTTTATTTCAAGTGACCCTCCATGCAAAGATGTCAATGCCCGATTAAAACGGTACCCTTTACAGCTATGTCTGGTCAATTATGAACTAGATATCAATGTTTTTGTGGCTAAAACTTTTTTCCATTTGAGGTGTCTCTACGAAAGTGACTTGCGCATTTCTGCTTATGAGAAGCAATGGAGAAAATTACAGAAAAATAAACCTTTGAGTCAGTAAAAAGAGGGAACTTTAACATTTTTGGGCATATTAAGGTTTTAAAAAAACCATTGCAAATCGGGCATTGCAATCTTTGCATAGAGGGTCACTTTAAATTACGCTTCAAACAAAAAAAAACTTAGTGAAAAAAGTGATGTCTTAGGATATAACTCTTGTGAATTAACAAATTGAAAAACCTTAGCGAAGTGATCAGTAATACCCGATAAACTGCAGTGCATAGAGGCTCTTTACAATATATATTCAAGAATTAAGATTTTCATGCTCTGGGGAAAAAAACTAATTATCGAAGAAACCTTAGCGAAGTGATCAGTAATCCCGGATACAATACAGTTCCTAGTGGGTATATAGTATATATATCTAATATATATACACAAGAACTATGATGTTAGTTTACAAGATATAATTCTATTGAATTAATCATCGAAGAAACCTTAGCGAAGTGAACCTTAGCGAAGTGATCAGTAATCCCGGATACAATACAGTTCCTAGTGGGTATATAGTATATATATCTAGTATATATATACAAGAACTATGATGTTAGTTTACAAGATATAATTCTATTAAATTAATTATCGAAGAAACCTTAGCGAAGTGATCAGTAATCCCGGATACACTACAGTGCATAGTTGCTCCACCTAGTTCTTCACCGGTTACTACTTCTCCTAGGAAGAATGGGTTGATAATCATTAAAGGGTTGTATGTTTCCTTATAAGAAAAATATCAAGGGGGGGAGGGGGGCAATTAAATTGCAAGATTTATGTTTTAATACTTTTCCAATAATAAAATACTCAGAAAAAAGTTTTTAAGCATACTAATGAAAAGCTTTACATTTACTAGACTTATTAAAAAACTTTTTTTTTAAATATGTATCACTAGGAATTATATTTAAGTTTTTTTGTTGTTGTTGTTGTAGAGTTACCCTTGGAAAAAATTAAATTTGTCTTTTTTATCTAAAAATATTGAATTGGTAACATAAATCCATTGCATGTGCTGTACCAGGAAAGAAGATAATTTGATTTTTTAACTATAAATATTGCATTCATGATCATTAATTCGGCGTATGTTAGCTGACCGGAATCAACAATATTTTTTCAATATTTTTTTTTGGTTCAGTAGCTCCAGTGTCTTGTAGGAATACAATTTAATTGGATTAAATCGAACGTAAAAATTAGAAAACGTCATTAATCATTCATTAACAAATAAACTGCTTTTTGTACCTGTTGCAGCTTTAACAAGCGGCGGACCCCCAAGGTATATGTTTCCGATTCTGTGTGTTATAATTGCAACATCCGACATCGTGGGAGCATACGCACCACCAGCTGTACATAGTCCGGACACAAGAGCAACCTGAACAAGTGAACCTGAACATTACAGTACAATATTGTACAGTACACTAACTAAATAACAGCAAAATTATGAGAAAAAATTGTTCCCTTGATCTATCTCTTTAAAAAAGTTTTTAACACATATTTTACAGTTTTCATTTCTGGTTCATTTTCATTCATTAAGAATATCAATCAAATCAAATCCCAGTTTGTAGGGATGACTAAAAACTTCAGTTGTGGATTGGATGATCATGTCCTTTCCATGGGTTTTCAGCCTGAGTAAAGTTTACACTTTATTTGCTATATGGTCAAGTTCCTAGCCACACAACCCAACCAAATGCTTCGCTTTTAAATATCATTCAAATTGCATTAAATGAATCTAAACCATGTTTATTTAGAATTTTTCACATTAAAAAATTAGACTTTATTCAAACTGAACTCTACAATAAAGTAAAGTTTGGTTTTCGGGTTAAAAATAGTTTTTTATGGAATATTAAATAATTTAAATTATAAATCCTACATGCTGTATTCCCTGTATTATAAATCCTACCTGCTGTATTCCCTGGCTTGACATGAGGGCCTGGTTAGCAAACCCTCGCCCCCCTCGTAGGAATATATCAGACTGCAAAGGAAGGAATGCACCGCCAGTGTCAACTATTTGCAAACAAGCTAACCGGTTCTTCCAACAGATTTCCTAAACATTAAATAGATATTCTTTAGAAAACTGTGCACTCACAAAATTAAATATTGATTTGAATATTATAGAACAACTATTTTGATCATTTGAACTTGTTGTAATCTTAAAGGGACTGTAAACGTTATTGCAAATGACTCTCAATTTATTGCTGCAAAGACAATGTGGAAAATTGTCAGAATTAAAACAAATTATATTTCTCTTCGTTTAAAAGAGTACACTTATAAACTCGCCTGAACTCTTAGCTGTTTTGATATTGTGATGGGATAGAAGGTTCCTCCCTTCACAGTTCCATCATTTGCGATTATCATAACATCTGATCCATGAATTCTTCCCACACCACACACTGTTCCACCACACGGTACCTATTATCATTATCATTTTTATGATTTTTATCATTATTATCATTATTATCATTAACCCGTCATAGGAAACAATCATCGTAAAATTTTATTTGTGAATTCTACCCTCCCAAGGCCAAATAGTTGAAGCAAAAAAAAATTAAGACAATATTTGAGCATTGAAGTGGTAAATAAATAAATACTTTTCTGCTTAAAAAAAAACTCTGATATGATAAAACTTACATCCCCGTATTCAAGTCCTAATCCAGCAGTTGTACAGAGCTCCCAGAGTTCTGTTCCTGGATCAAGTATTCGCCGAATCCTCTCTCGAACCAATACCTACATTACAGGAGTATGTATTTTCACTATTCTCGCTCTAATATCTCTATATCAGCAAAGCAACCATTTATAATGTCTATTTCACCCGACATTATTTTTGTTAAATTTCATAGGTATGTGCTTAGAGCTCATGGAACCTCACAAATACGATGAAAAATAGTTTCTTTAAGAATACATCAAGATTATTTCATCTCGTTTAAGAATTTCCATTTTTACATTTTTTTCTCATAAAATTGTCAAATTATTCTTACGTGAGATATTGGATGTATTTTATGGTGAAAAGTAAAAACTTCTTTGATAAAAAAAGAAAGGGTACAAGAATAAAACCTTGGGGAGCTCCAAGGTTTGAAAAGGGAGTCTTATCTTTGGACTTCTGATATTTTGAACATATAAACAAAAATCACTAGAAAGCTATGTGACCAGATATTCTTCCAAAGACGTCAATCTTTTTAAACCAAACATTTAAAATTGTTAAGTAAAAACTTCTTTGATAAAAAAAGAAAGGGTACAAGAATAAAACCTTGGGGAGCTCCAAGGTTTGAAAAGGGAGTCTTATCTTTGGACTTCTGATATTTTGAACATATAAACTAAAATCACTAGAAAGCTATGTGACCAGATATTCTTCCAAAGACGTCAATCTTTTTAAACCAAACATTTAAAATTGTTTAAAATTACACCCATCATACCTTTTTATTTAATCTAACATGCCTCGCTATTCCTTTCTCTCCCCCACCCTGCACACAGGTCTCTATTTGTGCTCTCAGCTCAGTTATTAGACCAGTAGCTCTAGCTCTAGTCAGTCAAGAGATATTAAAAACATAAATCACCCCCCCC